AGGGGACTAACCCCATACAGGGCTAACGACAGAACACAACACAAAAGAACGCTCACTGTAATAATGAAGCCAAACACCCAAATTCAATTTATTATCCAGTAGATGAAACTATCTTGATGCTGTAATACACATAACTGACCAGTTTATATGTTACCACATGTTAATTTATATTGGATATACATGCTGTGATTGAATATTGAAAAACTTAAATAAAGAATGTCAAAAAAAAAAAAAAAAAAATTAATAACTATTATTAAATATATAGAACAATTATAACATTCTGACTAAATTGCACTATATGGAGGTGCTATGGCACAATGACAAATTTAGTCATAGAATGCCACTGTTACATTGTCACTTTGCCTTCTCATGTTCTTTCATACACATCTTTGCTTAGCAACCAGATATAGACATCTAGATGGATGAGGCATGTTTTCCAAGCTAGTGTGTGTATACCAGAGTCGATAAAAGAGATATTTCAATATTCTGCTACTGATGAGGTCATCCTACCAAACTATATTATATTTATTTATACAAATATGTGCAACATACCAGGTACAGAAATATTGAGGTAACAGGAGACTGGAAAAACGGAGGACTAGAGAAGACATGGTCACACTTTTATTAATCTAACTCTTTAACAGTGTGACTGGGCCCCTATCACATCGGCACTGTAGGGAAAAAGTGACATCAGGTCACTTGCTCCTAACTTACACAGTACCGCACGACAAGGTAAAGAAGGACCCAGAAAGAGGAGAGGAAGAGAGCAAAGAGCAGACTGAGAGAGCCTAAACCAGACTCCCAGCAGTTAGATTCTATGAGTGGACCCCAAGCAAGGGCTGACTACAATACAATGTACACCATGACTTGTACGTATTTTGTGTCTGTGTCAGAATGTATTTGTCTATGTGTGTGTCAGTGTGTATGTGTCAGAATGTGTGTGTATCTGTTTGTATGTCAGTGTATATATGTCAGAATGTGTGTATCTCTGTATGTGTCAGTGTGTATGTGTATCTGTCAGAATGTATGCATCTCTGTGTGTGTTAGTGTATATGTGCATCTGTGTCAGTATGTGTGTGTGTGTGTATGTGTGTGTGTCAGTGTATCTGAGTCAGTATATGACAGTATATGTGCAGCACCCCAGAAATCAAACACCAACACTGTACAAAAATGCACACCTGCATTTAAACACCAACATTACATACAAACACACTAGTACATTTAAATGGCAAGAGCATGCACAAATATAATCATACATTCTCACACATACTCTGTATAAACACTACTCACAAATACAATCCTGGAGGGATATGAAAAATGATAGATCCCTAGTTGCAAAGCAATGTGGGAGTTGCATGACTGCTGAGGATCTACCATTTACCCACCCTTGCGCTTGAAAGGCCCAAACAAATGTCTTGCATCAAGGCCTTCTCTATATTATAATCATTATTATTAATCATGAACTTTTTCTCACATCTATACATCAAAATACCTACCCAGACCCCCAGAAAATATACCAAAATGTTAAAATATTTCATAGGTATTTAAACAAAGATACACTAAGCAGGCAAATTAGACAGGCATACAATCGTCAAATGTAGAAGACTAACATTTATGTATTTTATTTAAAGGGACAGATTGTTACAGTGACATATTATTACCTGGGAAATACAACAGAGATTAAAGGAAAACTTTCCAATGTCTTTTTTCCTCAGTGGGATGCCATTAATAGATTAAGAACGTCAACCCATCACCAACACCAGGTTCAAGAATAGATTAACAGAGTAACAACCTTATTTAGGTTCAGTCTCAATGTTAATTTGTCAATGTTTAAACTTTTGTTCACTTATCAAAGAACGAGTATTTTCTACTACAGAGGTTGCTGTGGCAACAAATATACAAATATACAGCTCTTCAAATATACAAATCAGACATTCAATAGAGCAGAATAATCTTTGTAGAAGGACTTTTAGAGGGAAAATTCTCTGCTACTACACTAGATTACGGTGTTATCATCTCTCATTTCTTACTTCTTTTTAGAGTGTTTAATTATATATATATATATATATATATATATATTTATATATAATAAGTTCCCTTTGCAATGAGCTAGTCTTGACTTAATTGGAGGATTCCAATTTTTTGTGTTTATACTGTATTTAGAATCAGATTCCTTTTGGGTTAAGCACCCTGAACCTCCTCTCTAGATGCCCGTTTGTAGGTGACTACTGGAAAGCATACATTTTAGGATAGTCTCTGGAAGAAATATAATCAGTAAGTACTGCAGTTAGCATGTTTATTTCCCACACTAAACTTAGCATGTAACTCACTTTAGTGGTGGGCTAAAAATGATATGGCCATATGGTGTAACTTAAAGAAACAGTTTAGGTACTAGTGTCGGATTTCCTATAGCCACAGCCCACCACTAGAACCCCTAACCCCCACTATAGCCACTATCCCCCTCACTACATCTACCACTATAGCTACTATAGCCCCTTTAGCACCTATCCCTTACTATAGCCACTATCTCCTACTACATCTACTACTATAGCCCATTTAGCACCTATCTCCCACTATAGCCACTATCTCCTACTACATCTACTACTATAGCCACTTTAGCACCTATCCCCCACTATAGCCACTATATCCTGCTACATCTACCACTATAGCTACTACCACTATAGCCCCCTATCCCCCACTACATTTACCATTATAGCTACTATACTCCCCTTAGCACCTATCCCCTACTATAGGCACTGCCCCACTACAGCCCCTATACCCCCACTGCAGCCACGACTCCCTTACTATAGTCCCTAACCTTCCCACTACAACACTTATTGCCCCCACTACAACCCATATTCCCTTACTATTGTGTTTGTGCTGTTTCTCAATCTGTATTTTACATATATTTTGATATTTACAACAGCACCACTGCTGCAAAATGCATGTTCTAGGTGTGCCCCCCAATTTGGCCATGCCCTTGAGAGTTTTCTTAGATAGGATAATGGCTGACTCGGTATCACTCAAAATATCTCCTCACTCTGGAAAAAAATGGGGAAAGACAGCAGACACAAAATCTGCACAACTTCTACAGAGACCTTAAAATAAAAGGCATTTTTTTTAATAGAGGTGCTTCTGTATAGCCCAAAATAAATGCAAACTGAATGTCATGGGAGCAGCACACACAGGAAGATAACGTTTTCAATCATACAAAGCTACCTGGGGTTTAGGTACACCGTATAGCCACGCCATGTTCCAACCCACCACTGAATATGGGTCCAACAGTAATCAGGAGATAATTAGCACGAGTACTGGTGCTTGGATTTGTTACAATGTTTTGGATTACTCTGAACTAAAAGGTCTCTGAGATCAACTCCTCAGAGGTAACATGGTATTGAAGGAGTTTGAGAAACCTCCTGGAGGTTTGGTCATAGACCAATTCTTCTTCACAATTTTAGACATGAAAGAAAGAGCTTTGGGATATTTTTGTCCTCTCAATTGACAGCAATTTTCAAAATTGAAAGCAAACTCTTTTTTTCTCTATGAACGTTGCTGAGCTTTTTATCATTTCATTTAACTTCTGACCTCTGAGCTGTGTGTTGGAACTGCTGCTAATCAATCTCATGTACTGAGAAAAAGATAATTTCTTTACAGATAGATGTGCACGTGAGGCGTATAGACGTGTCTGGTGTGTTTTGGTGAACAAGCAATATTCCAGTTTGTTGTCTTACATGAAAACACAAGAATCCAAAAACTCCCTTTAATTGTGGTCATGATGCAGGGCGAGATTCATCAGTAGGTTCTACCAGCAGTATTGGATGAACATATCTCGTAGAGTATCGCCCTTCCTCTCAATGTTAGGAATGTATGGTGGATTTGCATGGGTAACATAGGTCACCACAGGTAGATAGAATAGTCATTCATGCTGGAACAGGTAAGAGTTAGAATGCACTGGAGCAAATACTGCACCTAAAGAAACACCCAATTGCTGCGCATATAGTTGGTTTTCAAACTGAAAGTAATTGGATGTAAAAGTGATGTGTAAACGTTCAAGACTAAAGAGCAGTGGAGGACCTTGGTATAATGTGAAGTTGCTTAAAATAGACTCAGATAAGGTTGTCCCTTCTTTGTGGGGGATCACTGTGCATAGGTTGTTAACATCAAGCATAAAAGCCTTATTTCAGCAATAGATCGCACACCCTGTTTTATTTGCTCTACACAATATGACAAGTATTTATAACACAGGTTGGTATTTCCTGCACAGGTGGAGAAGAGAGTTCCTGTATTTTTTTTTTTTTTTTTTACATTTATCGTGACAATTGAATCAATTTTCAAGGTGAAACTAGCTTTTGCTTATGATTTTTTTGTTGTTGTACATTTTTTTATTTGCTGTGCAGAGAAAGACAAACAAACTTTAAATGCCATTACAACAATAGTAAGTATGGCAGCGTACGCAATAAAATTGTTACATATTTTATAAAGTATTAGAACATGCTGGGTAGACATGAAAATCAACTGGAACTGAATACACTGCTATGTTAACGCTCCAAACAAAATGAAACTGAAATAAAAGAGAACATTTCAAAATAAGGTGAAATGGAGTCTACTGAAATTACAAGGACTCAAGGCCCAGGCAGTAGGTAATCTCACAATGGAGAAGTACTCCATTGTGTAACAATACTAAGGTAAGGCACCTCTCCAGCCCCAACTCTGATCGAGGTCTCACATCTCCAAGCCACAGACTCGGGGGCTCTCAGAGTCCAAGTCCTTCCCAAATGGGAAACAGTTTAAGGCCCTGGTGGTCTGTTGCTGCTTTCGGCTGTCAGTCTTCTGTTAATGTGAACGATGTGGTGGGGCCAAGCCCCAAGTAGCCCTTAGCCCAGGTGGGTCAACGATGAGAGGGACAAAGGTTGGTCTCTATGGGTCAGTATCGGGCTCTGCACATCAGAAGTAAGTGCGTCTGCTTGGGAAGCTCAATTGCGTCCAGGTAGAAGATAGGAGCGTTTGGAACTGGAACAACTATGTGGGTCAGTCCAGCACGTACTGGGATAACCCCCAGTTGTCCAGGGGGAAAGTTGGAGTACAGCAGGACCACACAGATAATTTGAGAGAGAGAAAAGCGGCCGCCTCTTCTCAGATCAGTCACCTGCAGATCGTAACGTTTCTCCTCTACCTGTGGCTGAATGTCCCAGGTAAGATATCAATAGGTTTGCCTGGGAATACCCCTCATGTAGATAGTACAAGTTGACAGTGGTGTCAGCTCCTTAGCCGGGGTTCTCCCCCGAAAATCAACAAGAAAAATGGGACCCTGTTCAGCACACGTCTAGACAGCCCGAATATCAGGCTCCACCCCCCTGTGCTTACAATTTTATAAACAAAGAAAAAGCCAGACACTATTTCCTGTATACAAAGTCTTTAGCATATTTGTTTGTACTTATAACAATGCCGCCAATAAACATAACTCATAAAAGGTAACAAAATCTTAGCTAATCAACCAATGAGCTAAGGAAGCAATGCATTGCAGAGCTTTGCTCAGGAAAGCTAATGAAACTTCATGCTCTCCGGTGACAGTAGTGGAGGCACCATTTTGGTCAAACCATTTTAAAATTCAATACAATAGAGGGAGCACCAGGGAACTGTAGTGGTTACCATGCTTGGCGTGTTCCTTTAACCCCTTAACCCCTTAAGGACCAAACTTCTGGAATAAAAGGGAATCATGACATGTGGGGGTTAAGGACACATGAAGTTTGGTCCTTAAGGGGTTAAGATCACTTTTAGTACATACTAACATTTATGTATATCCACCTAATATGTCTTGTTTGTATAGTTTTGGCTTCACTCCAAGAGATTAGAACACATCCAACAATGAGTGCAGTTTAATTCCAGAATAACAAGCGTGTGACTTGAGTTGTCAAACTATTTTTTTTACCAGTGCATATGATTTAATCATACTGTCAGGCATCTTAGGAAAAGATTCAACTGCCAGCATATGTAGAATTCTTATTTTTAAATATATGTAAAATTTTCAAATGTATTCCTCAGTACTGTACAATAAATAAACACAGGGCTGCATGGTTCTGGTTCACGGGCTTCCAAGCTCAAGATGGCATTCTGGCATTGGTGGAGAATGCGCTAATGAGTAGGGAGCCTAACCAGCAGTTCACCGCCCTCTGTTCTCTTCTCTTTGATAGTGTACTTAAAGGCTACATTTGGCCATTCTATATATTTGCTGTAGTTCAATATTATTAGCCATGCTACATATTCACTGTGATTCAGTACATTCAACCTTGCACTTGGCCACACTTCATATTCACTGTGGTTCAGTACATTCTGCCTACGTTTGTCCGTGCTACATTTTCATTGGGCTCTGGACATTCGGTCTACTTTCTGCCATGCTACATATTCAGTTTGGTTCAGAACATTTGGCCTACTTTCAGCCATGCTAAATTTTCACCTTTTAGTTCAGAGTAGCCGTGCTACAGTTTCACATGGTTCAGGAGTCAGGACCTTGAAAACTCTGATGGCCTGGCAGTGTCTCTAGATTTGCTCCTTTGCTGGGTACAGTCAGAAATCCCGGTTCTCGCGAGCTCTGGTGTTCAATGGCACTGCGTCGAAGAGTTGTAATGGCAGTGGCGTCACTAGGGGGGGGCCAGAGGGGGCCATGGCCCCCCCTAGATCAGGCTGTGCCCCCCTTTGTGCTCCCCCAACTGGAAATGAACTTACTGCTCCTGGGCTCCCTCCATGCTACTGAGAGCCCAGCCCCTGAGCAGATGGATCCTGCAGGCAGGGGAATTCCCCAGCCTGTAAACATGGAGAGACACTGGAGGGAGGAGGGAAGCAGGCTGTGCTCACTGAAGGGGAGACTTCTAGTGCTGTGGAGGAGGAACCATTGTCCAGCCTGCAGGAAGTCTCCCCTTTGTTTCTGCTGGGGGAGCAGGCCAGCGGTGCACAGTGAGCACAGCCTGCTTCCTGCTTCCTCCTCCCTCCAGTGTATGTGCGTGTTTACAGGCAGGGGGATCCATCTGCTCAGGGGCTGGGCTCTCAGTAACATGGAGGGAGCCCAGCCAGCAGTAAGTACTGAATGGATCCTCCTCCACAGCCCTAGCACAGGGATGGCCCACATGGAGCCCAAGGGGGCTGATCATATTGTGTATGTTTGTGTGTGTATAAAGTGTGACTAAACTGGTGTGAGTGACATTGTGTGTGTATAGTTCAGTAATAGTGTGTGTTAGTGAGAGTGTAAGATATTGTGTGTATGTGTATACTGTGGCGAAACCAACCTCGCCACTATTCACTGGAGAAGCCTGGTTGCCAGCCTCCTGCCATCTGACTATGGCCCCCTTGTGAATTCGTACTTTTGTATGCAATATTTGGGCATGTGACATTTTTATATTGCTGCTACTGGCCCTTTAAGGGCCCTCCGTGAACATATTCTGCCTGTTAGGAATAATGCCTTTGTAAGACTGTGTAGCAAATTGCATTCAGGCTGTATTTAATATTATGTGTTCGGTGTAAAGTGTTATGTGAATGCAGCATTCCCTGATTGTTCGGTAGAATCACTTCATTCATTATATTGGGTGAAACTACCGAACAACCAGACCACCCGGGAGTAAGTGTGCCTCCAATTACCGTTTGCAACAATGTTGCAAACAGGTAATTGGCTATATGTGTACTGTGTGTTGTGTCCTCTGGGTGGCCGCCATTCGTGAAACGAACACGTGGCGGCGGCCATCTTAAACTCCCGAACAGCGGTGTTTTGCCGTCGAGTGTCTGGAACTAAAATCGGACACTCGACTAAGCAAACACCGCTGAGACCTCCAGACTTCCAGCAATTCGTGCAGAAACTACCGAACGGCCCGCCGTTCGGTAGAAAGGATCCCACGAACAGGGGGATTCATACGAATCCTCCCCAAGCTCTGTAACACAGGCCATTCGTGTGTTTGATTCCCTTTTCTGTGACCGACTGCAGGGCCAAAGTACATGGAACTATTTTCGGATACTTTTGCCATGCAGTCGGTCAAAACTTTAACCCTTTCTAATTCCTGAACCCCTGGTCCGATCTGGGTGATTTTTGGATATGTGTCTCACCCAGATCAGGGTTACCAGGGGATGTAACATTTAAAGGGGTATTCCTATGTTTAGGGGTACATCCAGTATCCCAGGGAATTTGTGTCTGTACTAATGGGATTATGTGTCACACTAAGGGGAGGAGATGTGTGGGAGGTAACTGGTACATTATTGGCTGGGGTACTAATTGTTGTGGATCCCTCCCTTGCATGGGAGAATGTCTTAAAAGGAGGCTGTGTGAATAAATCCTTAGATTCTGCTTAACCCTCAAAACGAAGTGTCGTCTCGTTATTGGGGGAATTGGATTGTGTGCTGACTGCCAGGAGTGTAAGCCGTTTGTATTGCTTTTCCTGTTCGGCTGCTTCCAGAGTTCGTGTATTTCTTGTTCGTGAGTTGGGGATTCGTACAGTTTGGAGTTCGGGAGGTTGGTGATTGCAATAGCTGCTGGTCTATGGGAAAAGGGGATTATCGCCTAAACCGATTTTATCCCCTTGTGAGAGAAACGGTCCGTTACAATTGGTGGCAAGCGGCGGGATCGTTCCTACAACCAGAAAGACAGCTACAGGGCAACACCATTCCTTGGATTACAAAGTGAGGGCAACGCCAGTACCCGTACAGCGACCCTATCGACAAAAGAGCCAACTTCAGCAGCGCAAGCATGGCACCTAGCTACACTCAGGAGCAGTATGACAGAGAGTTTGCTATGCGGCTGGCTTTCTTTGGACCCAACCCCCCGGAGAAATACGTGCAGTTTGTAAGGAGCCAGGTAGACGAGTACCTGGAGTTCATGGCAGATCCAGCCAAAGGTATCAGCCGCCCTATCCGGAGGCAGAGTGCGTTACGGGGACTCATAGGTGTGTCCCAGGGAGCAGAAGGTGTCGTCCTTCCTCCCCAGCGGCAGTGTGTACCCCAGGGAGCAGAAGGTGTCGTCCTTCCTCCCCAGCGGCAGTGTGTGTACCCCAGGGAGCAGAAGGTGCCGTCCTTCCTCCCCAGCGGCAGTGTGTGTCCCAGGGAGCAGAAGGTACCGTCCTTCCTCCCCAGCGGCAGTGTGTGTCCCAGGGAGCAGAAGGTGCCGTCCTTCCTCCCCAGCGGCAGTGGGTACCCCAGGGAGCAGAAGGTGTCGTCCTTCCTCCCCAGCGGCAGTGTGTACCCCAGGGAGCAGAAGGTACCGTCCTTCCTCCCCAGCGGCAGTGTGTGTCCCAGGGAGCAGAAGGTGCGTCCTTCCTCCCCAGCGGCAGTGTGTACCCCAGGGAGCAGAAGGTGGTCCTTCCTCCCCAGTCAGTGTCCTTCCTCCCAGGGAGCAGAAGGTGCCGTCCTTCCTCCCCAGCGGCAGTGTGTGTCCCAGGGAGCAGAAGGTGCAGTCCTTCCTCCCCAGCGGCAGCGTGTACCCCAGGGAGCTGAAGGTGCCGTCCTTCCTCCCCAGCGGCAGCGTGTACCCCAGGGAGCTGAAGGTGCCGTCCTTCCTCCCCAGCGGCAGTGTGTACCCCAGGGAGCAGAAGGTGCAGTCCTTCCTCCCCAGCGGCAGTGTGTACCCCAGGGAGCTGAAGGTGCAGTCCTTCCTCCCCAGCGGCAGTGTGTACCCCAGGGAGCCGAAGGTGCCGTCCTTCCTCCCCAGCGGCAGTGTGTCCTGCAGGAAGCGGAGACAGTCGGTCTCGCCCCCCAGCAGCAGGACAATATATTAAAAGGGGAGACAGTTGGTCCCCCTCTCCAACAGCAGAGAGTGTTCCAGGGAGAGGAACCAGTTATCACCTCTCCCCAGCAACAGGACGAATTATTGAAAGGGGAGACAGTCGGTCTCCCCCTTCAACAGCAGAGAGTGTGTCAGGGAGAGGAGCTTGTTATCCCCTCTCCCCAGCGGCTGAAAGTATGTATGGGAGAGGAGCTTGTTACACTCTCTCCCCAGCGGCAGCTTAACCCACCAAGGGGAGACAGTAATCTCCACAACAGTGCAGATGGGACAGTAGTCGCTGCACATGCACCACCGGGGGTAGGGACAGTCGGTCCTGTCACCCAGCAGCAGGACTGTTTAGGCAAAGGGGAGACAGTCTGCCTTCTCCTCCAGCAACCAGGCTCCAACCAGACTGCTCCCATGGTAGTGCTGGCACCAGGGCAGAGTACCGCTGGTCTCTGTACACTCAGCAACCCACCCAGTACGCTGACCAGTCACCCACGCAGCCAGGGTGAGGCACCTGGACACGGACAAAGTTCTACTCTACCCTGGTGTAGTAGCCAGTTATTGTGGGGGGGCTGTATTACGGATTGTGTTTTGTGGGTGGGCTGCTGGACTAACAAGGGCACTGACCGGCAGGAGGTCAGATACCCTGTTAGTCTGATTGGTAAAGGGGAGAAGTGTGGCGAAACCAACCTCGCCACTATGCACTGGAGAAGCCTGGTTGCCAGCCTCCTGCCATCTGACTATGGCCCCCTTGTGAATTCGTACTTTTGTATGCAATATTTGGGCATGTGACATTTTTATATTGCTGCTACTGGCCCTTTAAGGGCCATCCGTGGACATATTCTGCCTGTTAGGAATAATGCCTTTTTAAGACTGTGTAGCAAATTGCATTCAGGCTGTATTTAATATTATGTGTTCGGTGTAAAGTGTTATGTGAATGCAGCATTCCCTGATTGTTCGGTAGAATCACTTCATTCATTATATTGGGTGAAACTACCGAACAACCAGACCACCCGGGAGTAAGTGTGCCTCCAATTACCGTTTGCAACAATGTTGCAAACAGGTAATTGGCTATATGTGTACTGTGTGTTGTGTCCTCTGGGTGGCCGCCATTCGTGAAACGAACACGTGGCGGCGGCCATCTTAAACTCCCGAACAGCGGTGTTTTGCCGTCGAGTGTCTGGAACTAAAATCGGACACTCGACTAAGCAAACACCGCTGAGACCTCCAGACTTCCAGCAATTCGTGCAGAAACTACCGAACGGCCCGCCGTTCGGTAGAAAGGATCCCACGAACAGGGGGATTCATACGAATCCTCCCCAAGCTCTGTAACACAGGCCATTCGTGTGTTTGATTCCCTTTTCTGTGACCGACTGCAGGGCCAAAGTACATGGAACTATTTTCGGATACTTTTGCCATGCAGTCGGTCAAAACTTTAACCCTTTCTAATTCCTGAACCCCTGGTCCGATCTGGGTGATTTTTGGATATGTGTCTCACCCAGATCAGGGTTACCAGGGGATGTAACATTTAAAGGGGTATTCCTATGTTTAGGGGTACATCCAGTATCCCAGGGAATTTGTGTCTGTACTAATGGGATTATGTGTCACACTAAGGGGAGGAGATGTGTGGGAGGTAACTGGTACATTATTGGCTGGGGTACTAATTGTTGTGGATCCCTCCCTTGCATGGGAGAATGTCTTAAAAGGAGGCTGTGTGAATAAATCCTTAGATTCTGCTTAACCCTCAAAACGAAGTGTCGTCTCGTTATTGGGGGAATTGGATTGTGTGCTGACTGCCAGGAGTGTAAGCCGTTTGTATTGCTTTTCCTGTTCGGCTGCTTCCAGAGTTCGTGTATTTCTTGTTCGTGAGTTGGGGATTCGTACAGTTTGGAGTTCGGGAGGTTGGTGATTGCAATAGCTGCTGGTCTATGGGAAAAGGGGATTATCGCCTAAACCGATTTTATCCCCTTGTGAGAGAAACGGTCCGTTACATATACTAAATAGTGTGTGTTAGTGAGAGTGTGAGACATTGTGTGTGTGTATACTGAATAGTGTGTGTTAGTGAGAGTGTGAGACATTGTGTGTATACTTAATAGTGTCAGTGACATTATGTGTATACTTAACAGTGTGTGTTACTGAGATTATGTGACATTGTGTGTGTATACTTAATAATAGTGAGTGTTAGTGGGAGTGTGTGACATTGTGTGTATACTTAATAGTGTGTGTCAGTGACGTGTGTATACGTAATAATAATGTGTTAGTGTGTGACATTGTGTGTATACTTAATAATAGTGTGTGTTAGTGAGTGTGTCAGTGACATTGTGTATATACTTAATACGTGTGTTAGTGAGAGTGTGTGACGTGTGTATACTTCAGTAAGTAGTGTATGTTAGAGTGTGTGCGAGTGACGTGTGCGAGTGACTATGCGACCAATTATATTCATAATACATTTGATAGATTATAATGAAAAAAGTTTCTTACAGTGAACCTGTTAGACAGGTTCACTGTAACATTAATTAACGTAAACCCATTACTATAAATTAAATCCCACAATATTATAAATAAAATCCCACCAAATTAATGAAAATATTATTATCACAGCTATAAATTATATATTTAATGTAAAATGTATCCCAACATGCAAAAATGCATTTCAGGGAGGTGGCTTCACAATTTACTACGCCACCCCCGTGCACATGTGCGGTCACTCCACCTCCCCCTGACATGCTTATGCTCACTCCCCCCCCCCTCCACCAACACACACAGACACACAGATATGCGTACCGGCACATACACACTGACACACAGATACACACATTGAAACGCACACTGGCACATACATTCAGATACACACACTGAAACACACACAGATACACACACATATTGACATGCACAGAAGTCATACTTTATAGATTTGATTGTGTGTGTGATTTCCGGGATATTATGTATGATCTGCGGGTGTCAGGGAACCGCATTCAACATGCGAGAGTCTCGCTGAACTACCGGGAGACATGGGATGTCTGGTATTTGGCAGTATGTGTGTATGGATGGATGTATTAGGCAGTGTGCGTGTACGGGTGTATGTATTAGGCAATATATGTATTGTGCAATATGTGTGTGCAGATGGATGTATTAGGCAGTGTGTGTGTATGGATGTAAGTATTCAGTGAGTATGTATTAGGCAGTGTGCGTTTATGGGTCTATGTATTAGGCAATAGGTGTGTATAGATGTATGCATCAGGCAATATGTGTGTATAAATGGATGGATGTATTAGGCAGTGTGTGTGTATGGGTTTGTATGTATTAGGCAATATGTGTGCAGGAGCAGAGCAAACAGAGAGGAGCAGAACAAGCAGAGAAGAGGCAGCGCAGAACAAGTAGAGAGGACAAGAGCAGAGAGGAGCAGAGCAAGTAGAGTGGAGCGGAGCAGAGAAAGTAGAGAAAAGCAGAGCAAGTCGAGAGTGGCGGAGCAGAGCAAGCAGAGAGGAGTAAAAGCAGACCATGCAAATAGAAGCACAGAATGCAGAGAGGAGGCAGAGCAGAGCAAGCAAAGAGGAGCAGAGCAAGCATAGAGGAGCAAGAGCAAAGGAGGCAGAACAGATCAAGCAGAGAGGAGCAGGTATTGTGGCCCGCTGCCTCTGCCACATCTAGGTTCTGAGAAAAGTGAATTAATTGCACTGATTACAGTGAGTGGTGTGAGTGTGACAAAGGTTACTTACTCCTGATTGCAGATAGTGAGTGGTATGACAGTGGCACTTACTCCTGATTGCAGACAGTGAGTGGTATGACAGTGGCACTTACTCCTGAGATTGCAGACAGTTTTGTGACAGTGTCACCTTACTTACCAGAGATTGCAAACAGTTTGCAGTGCGGCCCCACATAAGGTGTGAAACCTTACCTACCTGAGAGTGCAATTTGCAGAGGGACTGAGTGAGCGGAGCAGACACTCCAGACAGTGGCACTACTACTGTAAGTAACGTGAACTTTAATTGTGTATCCATGTATCCAGGATTCCATATTGTGAGCAAGAGAATGAAACAAGTAATTTTAGTTTGTGTTGGTATAGTATTCACCAACTATCGGTCAGGGCACAAACTTTAGTGCCAACCATTTTTAATTGTTCATGGAAGTGGAGCTAAATCTGCTCTTCTTACAGTAAAAATTCATTTGAATTAGCATTTCAAAATACAACTTTGTGTCACTTTAAAATGCTTAAACTGTAGCGTAGAGAATACACTGTTAAGTGACCATTTTCTATGTATGTGAAATATTTATATAGAAGTGTTAATTTAAATTCCCTTCAAATTGCATGTTGTAAATTATTTTTAAAAATATATATATTTTTTTTAAACTAGTTTTGTAACAATTCTGGCATCATGAGATATTGTTACAATTGCATCTCTAAAGCAGACTTAAGCATATTTATCAAGGTGCTGGAAATCTGAATTTTGTTAACTTTTAAATGTTCTCCACGTGTGTGTGTGTACACACACACACACACACGTTTTGTAATTGCCCCCCTACTTCTGTCCCCGGCCCCCCATGTGCCCCCCCTAAATATGAATGCTGGAGACGCCACTGTGTAATGGTAACCCACAGAAATGCTCTAAAACGTAGAGCTTGTGAGAAAAATTCTCAGCACCTGGCAGAAGTGCTGAGAGCCTTGCGGGTCCTACGGCTGATCTCCCCACCGAGTTAGCCATGAATATATGTGGCATTGCTAGTGCTGCTGTTCTGAACAACGCTCTGCATGGGCTTAAAGGGGAATTCCATCGACCTTGGCTCATGGCCATTGCGGCCCACTGGACAGTTGCCCGGCTTGCCCGATGGGCAGTCTGGGATTGCATATGATTTTTCTTTTCATGCAGAATCCAGATTAGATGTGTATTGCTCTCAGCAACTTGCTTCTTGAACCCCAGGCTGGCAATACAACAAACATCGATATACTTACTTTATATCGAGATTTGGAAAGAGTATATGTAGCCAATCAGGGCCAGCCTTAGGCCTTAAGGCTAAAAACACTCTAAAATTCAATATAAAATTCAGTGTGTGGATCCAGGAGCTGGCTGAAGCTCCCATCAATAGCTTCAACAGCTAGGGGTGATAGTCTCTCCTTGATAGTTATAGTATTATCCTTGACAAATTGGACATCAATGAAATTTCCAGCAGCCCCTGATTCCATCAGGGCTTTGCATGAAAAGTGCTTTTTGTCAAGAATAATCGAAATATCAATGAGAAGTCTATATTTATTCTTTTCAGAGGACGTCTCCATTAAACCTAAGACCTGTCTCCTTGAGGCACTTAGGTGCGGTAGTTTCTTCGGACAAATGGGACAATTGTCTCTCATATGTCCATTACTATCGCAGTATAAACATACACCTTTAATTCTCCTATATTGTTTCTCGGCTTCTGACAGTCTAGTGACCCCCAACTGCATGGGTTCAGGTTCGGACTGTATAGGAAGGTCAGGAACAACAGGTTCGAAGAGACAGGGTGTTAAAGGCATAGTCATACGTCTGGTCTTATTTCTAGTATTCTCTCTGGTTCTTAGTCTATTATCAATTTGCCTAACAAATGTGATAAACTCGTTAAGTTTCTTGGGTAGATCTTTAGCAGCAATCTCATTTAGCATAATGTCAGATAGTCCCTTTTTAAATGCAGAGATTAGCCCACTGCTAGTCCAGTCTACCTCGGACGCCAGGGTACGAAATTCTATGGCATAATCTGAGATAGACCGGTTCTCTTGTCTGATGTGCATCAGAGCAGTGGAGGCGTTGTCCTCCCTGCCTGAAGGTTCAAACGTAAGTTTAAATTCCGTAAGAAACTCCTGGTAATTGTGTGCCACTCCTATTACTCTCCCATAATGGATTGGCCCAAGCTAAAGCTTTACCTTTTAACTGATTCATCAGGTAACCAATTTTAGCTCTGTCTGTGGGAAAAGATCCTGGTGAGGCCTCAAAATGATACTCCATTTGGTTAAGGAATCCCCTGCATTCTTGAATATTACCATCAAAATGCAGGGGAGGAGATAGGGAGATAGTAGGTGCCTTGTGTACTATAGGTGGAGGTACATAAGGTGGAGGTGAGGCAGCAGGTTGCAGATGCGCTGTTCGAGTAAGAAGCGTACTGAAGGCCTGGGCAAATTGATCCATGCGGTGATCATTTTCCTCCGGTTTCCTTTCGCAAGCAGCTATGTGCTTACACAATTCTACAGGATCTATGGCCATGTCGTAATGTCAGGATTACAGTATGATTCAGCACGTAGAATTGTGTAACACAGAGGACTGATAGGTAACGTATACCGGACCTTAGAATGGCCGGACTAACGTACCAAAGAATAGTCAGGAATAGCCACGGTCAAGGGATACAGAAAGAGACACAACGATAAGGAAAAGCCAGGAGTCAGGGATACCAGAAAACAGGGAAGTCAAAAACAATGCCAAAGTCAAATAACCAGAATTATCAGAATAAATACACGCTCTCGGACAACCACAAGGGAAACCATGACCGGGGAACTGAGCAGGATGAGAACTGGGCCTAAATCCTCTAGATCTGATAGGCTGTAACCAGCCTTTGACCCGAAAGTCAGTTACCATTTGCATAATTGCTGATCAGCATTAACCCTTCTGTGGATTAGGTTGCTGCTCGGCACAACTTTTCCTGTGTGGACAGTAAATGTCATTAACCACATTTTTATAAGCGGATGAATACGTGACACTCTCCGACTTTGGAGATAAAGATAAAGTAAGTATATCAATGTTTGCTGTATTGCCAGTCTGGGGCTCAAGTATTCTGCCAACTTATTTTCAAGTCCAGTTCGGAAGATGTACCGAGACACAAGCCTTGGGAAGAGACAGTATTTCCTTACAGCAGCGAGTTGGAAGCAGTACTTATATCAAATACATTATCTTATCAACCAGCATAGTTCAGGTTTTAAGCATACTTCACTGGGTTAAGGTATCATTTTTGCCCAATTTTACCAATGAATTAAATCTCTAACTGCTTCATGCTTATCTTCATATCAACCTGGGAGGTTTTCGGAGGTATGTAACAGTTGCTGATGAGTCAAGGTACAAATAAGACTAATAATAGGGGGGGCTTTGTTAAACATTTTTATTCTGTGATTAGATAGTATTATTTTTTTAGGCGTATCTGTTCGTTGTTTCGGCACACTACACCTAACTTGCCCTTACTAATATAGCTCAAACTTTATTGTGTGCCTATGGCCTTTGTCTCCAGCCATCTCTTCAATATCGCCATTTTTATCTCATATTACTAATATTGCCTGATTATTGGATGTTGTCCTTAGTGTTTTTAGATTATTGGGCTCCCCAAGTAAAAAAAATAAATCAGTTCATTTATGGTGGATAGTAAAGTATTTCCTTATTAGATATATGTTGTGACGAAGTGCCCTTCACCATTTGTGCCTGGAGGGGACTACTGGCTAGCCTCCTCCCTTCCGACTATGGCCCCTATGCTTGTAGCTATATTTTACCCTGCAGAAAGGTTTATTTGTGTATTTCTGCCGGGGCGTTCAGGACTTTCAGTATGTGCGTAGTGCTACCCCAGATAGCTATGCCATGGAGCCTATTCGTGTTATGAAACACTATGGAGAAGACTTTGGCTCCATGGCGATTGAACTGTATGTATGTGATCTGAGTGCCATTCGGTAATAATGTGCGCTCAGATCTAAGCAATCTGGGGATATGTTGCATGTATATATTTTATGTAGTAATTGTAACATTTTGTAATTTTATGTCTTTTTGTAACCATGTGGTTAATGGAGTCTTGCCTCTGTCTTGGGAGATAATTTGATTACTTCCCAATTATCTCCAGGATAGAGAGGAGGGATTGTGATGTCACTGTGGGAGTGTTTTGTTTGTATTGTCTGTGATTGGCTAATATCCGATATGTGTCCCATTGTTCCATCAGGTCCCCTAGGGGTGTGTCCACCTGGTGGACACTTGCATAAATACCAGGCAGGCAGCCCCCATTAAACAGACCTACTTGCACCTTTCTTGAAGCCTTGGCTCATGCTTGGGGGAAGGGATACCTACACTCTGGGGATTGCTATAATCACTTACTCCCCAGAGTAAGCTCTTGTAAGAGCTTGATTTGTTCCTGCTACGCTCTCTGGATTTAGGAGAGGTCTACCCACTGGAAGCTGGATCCTGGCCTTGGGTCCAGGGTGGGTGAAAGACGGCGAGACCCCGGCACAGCTGCATCGCTGGAAGTGGGGTCTGCAGTGCTAATGGCGTCGGTTGGAGTCCTCGGCAAGCGCTAGCAGCATCGATTGGTGGAGGTACTCGGTCGGGGTGCCAGCATTCCATCACATATGTATTGCCTTATTAACTTTAAATAATTGCTTTGAAGTGGTCACAGCGGTTATAATCTGTACGTGCAGCGTTTTCCCATGAAATGCTGCATATATACAGAATGCATTTTGTTGCCTGAGTAACATAGAAACATAGAATGTGATGGCAGATAAGAACCATTCGGCCCATCTAGTCTGCCCAATTTTCTAAATACTTTCATTAGCCCCATACCTTATCTTATAGTTAGGATAGCCTTATGCCTATCCCACTCATGCTTAAAATCCTTTACTGTGTTAACTTCTACCACTTCAGCTGGAAGGCTATTCCATGCATCCACTACCCTCTCAGTAAAGTAATACTTCCTGATATTATTTTTAAACCTTTGTCCCTCTAATTTAAGACTATGTCCTCTTGTTGTGGTAGTTTTTCTTCTCTTAAATATGGTCTCCTCTGCCCTTGGGTTTTTAAGTCCAAGATGAATAATCTTGCACTTATCCACATTAAATGTCAGTTGCCACAATTCTGACCATTTTTCTAGTTTACCTAAATCATTTACCATCAAGACCTTCTGCAATATCACTAATAAAAATATTAAAGAGAATGGGTCCAAGTACAGATCCCTGAGGTGCCCCACTGGTGACAAGTCCAAGCTTCGAATATATTCCATTAACTACAACCCTCTGTTGCCTGTCACTCAGCAACTGCCTTACCCATTCAACAATATTAGAATCCAAAATTAAAGATTGCAGTTTATTGATAAGCCTTCTATGTGCAATAGTGTCAAAAGCCTTACTGAAATCTAGGTAAGCAATGTCTACTGCACCACCCTGATCTATAATTTTAGTTACCCAATCAAAAAAATCAATAAGATTAGTTTGGCATGATCTCCCTGAAGTAAACCCATGTTGTCTCTGATCTTGAAATCCATGTGTTTTTAGATGTTCAACAATCCTATCCTTTAACATTGTTTCCATCACTTTCCCCACTACTGAAGTAAGGCTTACTGGCCTATAGCTGCCCGACTCCTCCCTATTACCTTTCTTGTAAATGGGCACAACATTCGCTAACTTCCAATCTTCTGGGACTACTCCTGTTAACAATGATTGGTTAAATAAATCTGTTAATGGTTTTGCTAGTACACTGCTAAGTTCTTTTAATAGCTTTGGGTGTATTCCATCAGGTGCCATTGACTTATTTGTCTTTACTTTTGACAGTTGAAATAGAACCTCTTCCTCTGTAAACTCACGTGTAATAAATGACTAATTTATCCTTTTTCTTAACTGAGGTCCCTTTCCTTCATTTTCATCTGTAAATACAGAACAAAAATATTCATTGAGGCAGTCAGCTAGACCTTTATCCTCTTCTACATACTTTCCTTCTTTTGTTTTTAATCTAACTAATCCTTGTTTTACTTTTCTCATTTATGTATCTAAAAAATGTTTTGTCCCCCTTTTTTACTGACTGTGCTATTTTCTCTTCTGTGTGTGATTTGGAAGCTCTTATAACTTGCTTAGCCTCTTTCTGCCTAATCTTTTTTATAATTCCTAAATGCTAACTTTTTGTTTTTAACTATTTTGGCCACATCTGCGGAGTATCACAGTGGTTTCTTGATTTTTTTGCTTTTACTGACAAGTAGTAACTCCAACTCCGGCAGCGTAATTGGGACAGCCTGGAACATGAGTCACATAGTCAAAAACTGCAACGAAAACTTGGCCTCTGAGTTGGATCTGTCCGAAGTTATGATGGGTGGAATCGATATTTCATTTATGTTATTGTGCAGTACTAAAGAATACATTTGCAAATTCTAAAGAAAAATAAGAATTCTACCTTTTCCTATGATGCCTGACAGCATTATGAAACCATATGCACAGGTAAAAAAAAGTTTGACAACCCAAGTCACACATTTGCCATTCTGATATTGAGCTGCACTCATTGTTGGATGTGTTCTCGTCTCTTGGAGCAAAGCCAAAACCATACTACATCTATTAAGACAAACTGGATTAGCGTTTTAATTTAGGGAACTTCAAACAAATATATTAAAGCGAAAACAGAGAATATGTTTTCAGTCATTATAAGGCAAAACCTAGCGCTTTCCTGCCTGACAGAAAGAAAATCATGCTGGCCTGTCTCAGAGGGCAGCACATGCGCCGAGCGCTGTTAAAGTGCTCTGCTCACACAGTTTAGACCAGGGCTGGACAAAAGGTAGATCCTCAGCTGTTGTAGAACTCCAACTACCATGGTGCTTTGCCAGTGCTTGTAAGGTCAAAGCATCATGGAAGTTGTAGTTCTCCAACATTTGTGGATCTACATTTTGTTCTCCTCTGGTTCAGACTGCGCGCGCCCTTCTGATGACACGCTCGCACTGTGCCGTAAGGTGACATAGGACACCATGAAGGACCATTAATTCAGGACTGTCCTGCCAAACCTGGGCCTGTTTGGAGCTATGTAATACACATCCAGGAAAACATGGTGGACCTCCCTCCCTACTTCATATACCAGGCTGAGCTCTCTGTGCAGACAGCACAACATGCTTTATCATTTGAGATATTTTTTTAAAGGCTGCACACACAGATAGCACCAAGGACATGGCTGCATATAAAGTGCCATCCAAGCCATCCCCCCCATCCCTCCTTATAAAACCTCGTCACCCCCTAACGCGCATGCGCCTCACTCCATCCCTGCGTCACTGAACATTGTGCTCACACCCCCCCCCCCATATTCCTCCTTCCAGCCGTCTACGCCCAGGGCAACAGCGACTTGCTGCGCATGCGCACGCCTCTAGCCCCGCCTCTCACCCCACAGCAGCCGGCCGGTCGCTCCCCCTCCTCCCCTCAGAGCGGTTGATATGACGTCACCGCGCTGCTGAGCTCCGTTTCGTTGACAGCGCGGCGGCTTCCCAGAGAGCCCGGCGGGAGGAAGCGAGCTGAGAGAGGGAGGCACCGGGCGCGGGATACTCTCACCCAGGGAGGAGGAGGAGGGAGGGCATCGTCCCCCTAAATACCAAAACGACTAGCTCCTCCTTTCGCGCCTCACCGCCCTCCGCGGCCATCTCTCCATTATCGCCATTTTTATCTCGCATTCCTGATATCGCCTGAGGTAGAGGACGAGGGGTTCGCGTTGGGTTTTTGCCTATCCCCCCACACCGGAGATACCACAACCACCACCCGCCCTTCCAAAGACCTTCCTGAGGGCGGCCACCCTCCGCACCTCCCCCCGCCGGTAAGTGCCCCCCTGGGCGGCTGTCAGCGCAGGGTAACCGGGAGGCTGTGAGGGAGGGAAGGCCCTGTCCTGACGATGTGGCTGCAGCTGTTGCCTCCTCCCTCCTTCATCTTCTCTCCCTCTCTCTCTCTCAAAATGGCGGCCGGCCGTTACAGCTCCCGCACCGCAGGAGGGAGGCGGAGGAGAGGGAGGGAGGGCGGCTCAGTGCATCCTCGGGGGGGATAATTGAGGCGTGGCAGGGTCACCGAGCACGGTGTTATTCGGGGTGTGATGTGCTGTATTGGAGGCGGCTAGCAGCCATCCGTGTACAATGGGCCGTGTCTGCCGTGTACACTGAGCCCGGCTGCTGCTGCTGCTGTCTGACAGGGCGTCCTGGGCAGCTCCTCCGCAGAACATTCCACGCGTTTCCATGGCGACTGCTCCACGTTCAGCCATTTGCGTCACAATTTGTCCTTCAGTACACACGGCCTAATCTAAGGATAGACAAAAGGTAGACACCCCCCCTGTCAGCTGGTGTATAACTACAACTCCCATGATGCTTTGCCAGCCTGTGTATGTCTATTAGGGGGATTCAGCTCAGTGTCTGCTGCTGGCACCCATGGCCTAAATGACTTGTATTTTTGAGGATTAGTCTGTCTAGCTGGGTATCTGTCTGATGTAAGGAGATGGTCATACACGTCCATTACATAAATATTGTCAAGCCAAGGATGGGTGTGGGTGTTACCCACCTTTAACCTCTCTATTGCCACAAGGCCCTATATTGCAATGTTCAGGTGATCATTTTTTGGTATAAATTTTATGCTGTCATTTTGTTCTAAAATGTTCTTAAGGACTCCAGTGTTTTTACAGTCACAGCTTGTTTTTTTGGTTGGAAAGTGATAGGTGCACTTGCATAGTGATATTTTATTTGTAGTAGGTGAAAGTATAGGGGAGTGGAGAATTGGTTGCATGCAAGGTGTGTGGATGTTGCTCAGTACTTATATACATTATGGCTTGGTTGTGTATTAAACTTAATGTTTCTTTCCCACCACAAAATTACTTGGTGTCTTTTATCATTATTGGTAATTTATGGACCATTGACGTTTGGATCAGAGGAAAATGTAAAAATACACCAATTTTTCATTCAGGGTGGATCCTGTCATCAGTGATATGTCTACTGCCTACCATGCAATAGTAATCTGCTACATTTGAGATTATGCTGGATTTTATTTTTTATTTACCAAATGTTTTTAAATTATTTTGGCACTACAATTGTCTGCAGTAACCATGATTTTCAGTTGGCACACCCCTATCACAAATATTATATCTTCAATTTAGAATCATCCTCCTGTATCTTTTATGTTAGCATGTGCTGTTTTCTTGGGCACTTTGCTCTGTGCTTGTTGGTCGGCAAGCCTTTGAATGCAGTTGTTACCAAACCATTTGCATCTAGAATTTAAGGGTTGGCTGTAATATTTAGGCTGTTTTGCTTGCATGTGCAGATGAAATTGTCAGAACCGGGAGTGGAAGAAAGCTGAATCATTGCTTAGGTGTGTTGTGCACACCCTTGGTTTTATACACTTGTTGTGTTACCTGATCTTTCAGTAGTTGCTGTTATTTCATAAAATAGATATAACACAGTGGATGTTTATACTGCCTTTTTGTTTTGGAGGTAACATTTTATACTCGTGACACTGAAAAGGGAAATAAGTTCATAATTCTGACCATTGCAAATGGTTCAGGATAATGCTGTCTACAAAAATTAAACTATTAAAATATATTTATAGCTATCTATTTATCTGCAAGTCTGAACCTTGTTTGTGCGCAGCATCAATCTGTATGAGCCAACAGTCATCAAGCAGAGACAGGGAGACTGGGTGGAGTAAGGAGGTAGAGGCAGAAAATGGCTCTGTTTTTTTCATGTGTTTTTTATATTTGCGTTTATGCCAAATGAGAGCATCTTGATTTTCAATGTAATATGCCTTGTACAGAAATGTTATTGCTGCATTATGAAGCCATGTATTAGGGTTGCACATAGATAAAGTGAGAAGTTATTGTTTAAATTGTTCTTTGTTCTGGGGGTTTTTTTTGTACACACTTGTTGGTAATTTTATACGAATCAACATGTTGGTCTGCCATACACTTTAATAGTAGTTGCATTTTTACTTGAATGTGTATTTTTTCAATTGCTTATTGTAAATAATCAGGTGTTCTGCTACTTTGGACAGTCACTTAATCAAGTGGCATCCAAAAGGACTTTTGTTTGCATTTACCTTGTCTGCATAAAAAAAAAAAAAAACAAATCAGATTGTTTTGAACCACTTATATAAATATCGTACCCCAGCATATGTTGGATATGACATTTCTTGCTAAAAAGTTAAGCAGCTTTCATTTTAAGAAATGTATTCGGCTTTATTGTTCTATATTATATAATTTTAATTTGCAAAAAATATGATTTATAGGACTCTAATGAATGGCGCTTCATGATTTTGTACACACCACTTCACCATTATGTTTGACTTCATTAAGGTTCCTGCGGGCATCACAGCAATATCTCTATATACCATGACATGCCTTCTTTGTGAGCTGTTGGTGCATAGGTGTCATTCTGCAGAGTTGTATTGTCACTGCTTTATTTTTTGTTTTGTTTCCTGATGACATGCATACTATTAAATAACTGTATCCAGAGAATTTCATTTTTTGTTATCTTTCTGGTGTTGATTTGTCTAGTTACACCCCTCACTTTATACAATAAGTGTTAACATTTAGTATGTGCAGTATTTCACTGTTTTTTATTATGTATCTGACCAATTTCATGCTTCTGTTGCTTCAACTGGAGGCCCAACATACTCCTTTTTAATGTGATCTGTGTTTAGAAACACTCTCTTTGTCTAACTGCATGCCACTCCTACAATGCAGTGCCTGTCTGATTCTTTGAAAGTTTAACTGTTTCATTGTTATGTCATATTTAGTAGTGTCTACTAAAACAATTCAAGGTTTTTTATTTTTTTTGGTGTGGGTTGAGTCTGCAGACTTCTACCCTGTCTCCTTGCACAGTTGCTTGGTACTCAAATTACTGTCAACATCTTTTTGTCTCATGCATGGCTGTTTTTTGTAGCAAAATGTTTGAATGCATTCTTCTGTTTGTACATGTTAACCTAAGAAATCAAAGCCTGGAAAGACATACAGATATAATAATGGACATTTGAGTATGTATACACGTGTTAATGTTGTACAGGTAAAACCAAATATTTTCTACAGGTCAGTTAGTTTAGGTTTTTGCAAATTGTGCAGAACTATTGCAGGTAACTTACCTTTTGCTGTATACTTATGCCTTAGTCAACCATTTCTACTAAAATTTAATATGGCATTGGGCTTTTCGAGTTTGAGTAAATCTTAACCCTTTTCAAACTGGTATTGGTGGAAGCATGTAAAATGTATTGCTAGGATATTGGAGCTTTAATAGAGTGAATAGGAGAGCTGCAACCATTGGCCAAGTAGTTATATTCTTTGATACTATGTTTAGTATTTCAGCATTATGGGTTAGTGTCATTTTATAATATGGTTCCTTTGGTTACATGTTATAGCTGGTATGTTGCTCTTTCCTCAGATACTACATAATTGAATGGTTTATACAAACTGTTGTGTATACAATTTGTTAAAAGTATACTCCAATACATATAGCCAGCAAAAATTATGGTTTGTACTTTGCAATGTCTTTCGAACACCTCTACACTGTCCAACACAACCATCAACCTTTCGTTTTAAAAAGACGCACTCAAGGCTTTTGTGTTCAGTTTTATCAAAAGGGTCCATATTTTGGATGCATAATACAAACCTGTATGATGTCACAAATTGAGGGATTGCTCTGGTGAATCCGGTTTTATTTTTTCAACACTGTAAAAACTTAATAAATCATTCTTGCACCATGACTGTTACAGTAAGTGATTGTGGTGCTTGGACTCGAACATTTTATAATTTACATACTTATTTACTTGTTTTACCATTTTTATATATTTTTAAATTTGAAACTATAATTCTCTCCCCTTTAAGGACTGCCCATCTTTCTTAGGAAGTGAAAATTGAAGTTAGAGTACTATAGGGTCAGGAACACAAACATGTTTTCCTGACCCTATAGTGTTAAAACCACTATCTAGCCCCCTTTGCCTCCCTAAAGATAGTAAACTCTTAATTCTATTCAAGTATGAAGCTGCTGCCCCTGCCTGTGCCTCTGACATCAGAAGTGGTGGCCTGATCCAATCACAATACTTCCCCATAGGATTGGCTGAGACTGACAAGGAGGCAGGTCAGGGGCAGAGCCAGCACAAACCAAACCCTGGATGCATGCAGGCCGCCAAGTGTTTTCTAGCTTCTGGTGCCATCACCCTTTTGCCCAGAGCACAAAAGATCCATTTGTGAGGTAATCTTTATTTTCTTGCTTTGGAATTGTCTTGGGGGATCGTTTTTCCTAGGAATTCTTGGATATGTGTATTTTAGGGTACGTCTAATGATCCTGAAAATCTAGAGCGGGATCAACCCATTTCTAAATCTTGTAATTTTCCTTCACCAGATTAAAGGACCACTCTAGGCACCCAGTCCACTTCAGCTTAATGAAGTGGTCTGGGTGCCTGGTCCAGCTAGGGTTAACCCATTTTTTTTAATAAACATCAGAGAAACTGCTATGTTTAGAAATAGGCTAATCCAGTCTCTAGTGGCTGTCTCATTGACAACCGCTAGAGGCGTTTGCGTGCTTCTCACTGTGAAAATCAGTGAGAAGACGCAAGCGTCCATAGGAAAGCTTTATGAATGCTTTCCTGTGAGACTGGCTGAATGCGCGCGCAGTTCCTGCCGCGCATGCGCATTCAGCCGAAGAGGAGGAGGAGAGCTCCCCGTCCGGCACTGGAGAAAGGTGAGTGTTTAACCCCTTCCTCGCCCCAGAGCCGGGCGGGAGGGGGTCCCTAAGGGTGGGGGCACCCTCAGGGCACTATAGTGCTAGGAAAAAGTTTTCATGGCACTATAGTGGTTCTTTAACGCACAAATAAGCAGTGTAACTTCTGCATTAAGACTATGTAGATAGTTCAAAACATTGAAATATTTTCATGAGAGGTTGTGGCTGAGAAGGTCTTCTAGCACAGCATTCTGCAAAACACGTTTTTTTTTTTGTTTGTTTTTTAAATAAATACTATGATTTAAACTTGCAAAAATGCCACATTATTGAGGTAATGCAGTAAAAAAAAAATTACATACATTTATTGGTTGCTGGAGTGATTCCTTTTGAACGCACACTTTAAGCATTAAATAATCTTTACCTTGAAGAAACAGTTTGGGCACCGTAACAACTTCATCAAAATTGGCTTGTTTTATGTCCCAGATATTGAGATCGTTTCTATTCCTGACTCTGTTCCTGTAATGCTTTCCTATGGGGTAACTAATGCGCTCGGCACACATGGCACATTAGGTCCACCATTGGTGTGACATCGCGGGAGGAGGAGACCTTAATTTTAAGTAAAGGTTTTTAACCTTTGCATGCTCGCAGGAGGAGCTATCTAAAGTTAGACAAAGGCATACTATTGCATTAGGAATACAGTTGGAAAGATATTAACCAGAATTCAATGTGTATTGCAAGCATATAAATAACTGCCGAAGAAATGTCTTCACATCCACCATTCTGCATATAAAATAAGCTTGTTACACCCTTATTAACCGTAATTGGCTTAGTCAATTATGTTACCTTGGTCTTTGTATTGTCTGGTGTATTAAAGTGTAACTGTCTTTTATGAACTCTTCATGGAATATTTATGGAAAATTGCCTATATCAAAGGTCAAATTTGTGCCAGGTTGCCATGAAGAAATAAAATGGCACCTTGTGCTGAAAATGTAGTATTCCTCATGTGTAGTCTCAAAAGAATTTGGCCTGTTTTAAGGATACTTTTGTGCTCCACTTTTTCAGCTCTCTCTCTCATAGCGCCAACAGAAAGTTATGTCCCATGCCTGAGCTCTAGGTACAACTCAGAAGAGCTCTGAAGTAATGAGACCTCAAGATTTCCACTCTACAACAGACTAGCAACCGAGGACCTGGAGAAGATAGAGAGACTAATTAAATAAGTATGTGTGTTTATGAATTTGTGTGCAGGTGCTGGTAATTGGATGGTGTGTGAGTGATTAAGCATTTGTGTGTGAATAGTTTGACGTGTATGTAAGAGTGACTACGTATGGTAATTAGTTGTGAGTGAAAGTGGCTAATAAAGTGAGAATATGACTTGTGGCGTGTAAGTGGAAAAACTTGGCGTCCAGAGAAATGTTTCAATTCCAAGTTTGTATATTATGTTGGAATTTCTCTGAAACTTGGGTGCAGTTAAAAGATCTACATAAGGCAAAAATATATAATTACTTTGCGTATGGAAATGACAAAACTGGAATATTTAGGTCAACTTGTCCCCTCTAAATGTACTAAAATCTTACCTTATTTCCAGCATTGTGCTGGTCTGCTAGCGTGGCTCTGCCCTGATCTGTCTCCTTGGCTGACATCATCAGAAGTAATGATCGCAGCCAATCACAATGCTTTTTCCATCTCAGCCAAGGAGGCGATGCAGTGCCAAACTCCACCCTGGCCACTCAGCATCTGAATCATCTTATTTGAATCAATGCATCTCTATGATGAAAGATCAGCATCTCTATGTATAGCATGGAGAGGCTTATCGTCGGTGCTGCATGCTGTGCAACCCTGAGTAGCGGCGCTGGAGGTATCCCGAGGCTGTAATGTAAACACTGCCTTTTCTCTAAAAAAAGGCATTGTTTACAACGGAAAAGCATGCAGGGACATGGTTTTGACACCAGAACTACATTAAGCTGTAGTTGTTCTAGTGACTATAGTGTCCCTTCAAAGTAAATTTTAATATTTATGCCCAAAATAACAATTGTGTTAAAAAAAAAAATTGTATTTTATTTTGAAATTTACTTTGAGTTCTTGAAAACTCACACTTCAGTGAATAATAAATTTCACATTTGTTTGTGTTTATAAACCCTTTTTATAATTATATTATTTTTTTTTTTTTATGGTTGTGATTATAGCGCTCTGCTGTGCTATCACAGGATTTGGCAGTGTTAATGAATTAGAAACATAGGTATATCCTACCAATCACATGGCATGACCAGCAATAGTACAATATTTAGAAAAGCTGTGGCTCAAAATTGAAGTGGCTGTTTAATTTCACCACAAACTATAACAACCAAAGAAATCATGAAGCATTCCTTACAAGGAAATTAAAATAACACTTCCATAACTTAATTGAAATGGTTATGGGGCATTAAAGGGAAACTCTAGTGCCAGGAAAACAAACTCGTTTTGCTACGGATCATGAACTGTTCCAATCATTGTGGTACAGGTTGGTCTAAGTTTCATCTGTCCAAAGAATGCCATGCCAGAACTGGGTTTGCCTTTCTAGATTTAAAAAAATAAATAAAATTTATAGCAGTGTCTAATCTAGCCTTTCTGTTATTGAGGTTTGAGTGGTTTGCACCTTGCAGTGATCCTTCTGTATTTACTCTCCCGAAGTCTTCTCTTTATGGTAGACTTGGATAATGAAATGCCTACCTCCTGGAGAGTGCTCTTGTCTGGATATTGCGGAGGGAACCATGGGAATGATCCTACAATCATCCACCACTGTTTTCTGTGGGTGTCCAGGTCTGTTGGACAGAGATCACCAGTGCATCTCACCACCACCCCTTCCCACCACATTTATTTTTTTACTTAGAATGTACCAAACTGTTGATTTGACCGCTCCTGTTATCTTTCAGGTGATTTGTTTTCTCTTCAGTTAAAGATGGGCTGTTTCACTTGCATTGAGTGCTCCTTTGACCGCATATTGTAGGTTCACAGCATCAGCTTTCAAATGCGAATGACACACCTGGAATTCCAGACCTTTTGCCTGCTTAATTGAGAAAAATAATGAAGGAATAGCCCACACCAGTCAATGAAATGTCCCTTGGAAAAGAGGGGGCTACATATTAAAGAGCTGTAATTCCTTAACTCTTGCTCCAATTTTGATGTGTATACTCTAAAATTTCATTTGAGACTGCACTTTTAGCCCATATCTATTATTTAACTGTAACTTGAAAAAAATCAAAATGAAGAAAAACTTGTCACTGTCCAAATATTTTCAGACCTAACTATATTACAGTGATACATATTGTATACTCAAGTCCTATATTAGCCAGTTACTCGTTACTGCAAGCATGGACAGCCCATGATATACTGATCTAAAGTGAATTTCTACTCAAGGGCAGAAATTTCACCTGCCAATGTTTTGAGCCCTTATGTATTCAGCATAATGTATTGTGAGATAAATACACTTCAACTCTAATCCAGCGCCACCATGTTCCAACTTTTGTGAGTTACTCTTCTTTAATAACCACCTCTACTCTGTCCGTGCACAGCATTTGCATTTCTTTGATATACCCTGCTTGACTGCTTCCTCCAACAGAGCAAACCTATGTGTCAAAGATATGCTGGCATTCATTGCCAGCATCTCAATAGTGACATGTGTAACTGTTAATATACTCTTATTTTCTAAAAGAGCATATGTTTATAAATAGCATGAAATAATTAACCCACTCCCCCACTTTGGTCCTAATGCTGTGTCTGTGAGTGCTACCCTCACAAACTCCCACCACTTCCTCAGGTTGGTTGCAATACTCGCATAATGACATTGATTGCCAGGGCATTCATTGTTGTCAGAATGGAGTGATGTCCATCATGCCTCTCCTATATTCCGAGATACATTCGCAAGAGAGAATAGTAGCTTAGCACATGCATTGTAGTTGCAATGATAGTGAGATCTTCCTGCACTCCACTGTCACTTAAAGGGACACTATATAGTCACCAGAACAACTACAGCGTATTGAATTTGTTCTGGTGAGTAGAATCATTACCGTCAGGCTTTTTGCTGTAAACACTATCTTTTCAGAGAAAATGCAGTGTTTACATTACACACTAGTGATAACTTCACTGGCCACTCCTCAGATAGCTGTTAGAGATCCTTCCTGGTTTATGGCTCCCTAAAATGCATCAAAACATTCAGTGTCTCTTCCCTCTGCATGCAGACACTGAGCTTTCCTGATAGAGATTCATTAATTCAATTCATCTCTATGAGGCGATGCTGATTGGCCAGGGCTGTGTTTGAATTGGGCTGGCTCTTCCCCTGATCTGCCTCTTTGTCAATCTCAGTCAATCCTATGGGGAAGCATTGTGATTGGATCAGGCTACCACTTTTGGTGATGGCAGGTCAAAAGGAAACAGGGAAAAAAGTAAGCAGCTCCAGACTTGAAACCTAGTAAGATTTTACTATATTCAGGGAGGCATGAGGGGACCAGGGTGGGTAGATGGTGGTTTTTAACCCTATAGGGTCAGGAATATGTTTTTTCTGACCATATAGTGCTCATTTAATTGTCAGCGTAAGGACAAATGTCTGGTTAAAAAAAATCTATATCTTTTAATAGATGTAGTAGGAAATCTACATTAACTATCCTGCTGGCATATTAAATAGATGTATATTTTGTCTTCTGCAATCTAATGAAAAATAGGTACAATTTGTAAGACCTGCCACCCAGACACTGGTTGTCTCATTGAATTTACTTTTATAGGGTTCTTGTTTTACCGAACGTGTATGTGTGTCAAAAATTAAGCTAAATTTTTTTCCCTTCGCAGATTCCAGGTGTTGCAATTAGGGATCGACCGATAGAGAATTTATTTAGAGCCGATACCGATAATCTGTGAACTTTCAGGCCATTAGTCGATAACCTATCGATATTCTGTACATTTACCATTGTGAATGCAGTGTGTGTGTGTGTGTGTATAAAGTGAAAGCAGTGTGTGTGTGTGTGTGTGTGTGTGTGTGTGTGTGTGTGTGTGTGTGTAAAAAAAAGTCCCCCCTCCCTGCTTCTTACTTGGCCATGGACTGTGCAGAGGGGGCCCAGCAAGCGCTTGCTTACCTTCACAGCAGCTCCACAGGTCCACCGGGCTTGTCATGGGCCTGGCGTTCCTGGTATGTATTATCGGCAATATCGGTATCTTTTTTGGCCGATATTGCTGAAAATACAGAATATCGCCGATTATATTGGCCAGACCGATAATCGGTCAATCCCCTGTTGCTAAAAATCTGCTAATGAGGGGTACTGCCGTGCATGCGCATTAGGTCTTGCTCATAGGAAATCATTGAACACTCATGGACAGCTGTTGTTAATGCAACTCATGAGCATGATTTTTGGTTATTGGCTTGCTGATGAGACTTGGCGTTACTTGAGAAGCACAAACCAAGAAAGTTTCTTTTTATGGTGGGCAAAAAAAGAGAATGCTCCTTCTTCCTGAAGTCAGTTGATAGTCAATACATTGTTAAACACAAGCTGAAACTGCTAAGGAATCCTCTTAAGGAATCCAAGTTTAATATGGAATGATGAGTGGAAACTTTGATTCTTTGAACTAATTTGCATATGCCCACCCACAATCGATTGCAGTAGTAACATCACTGCAAATTTGAGATTTCTGTATATATACACACACATACTCACAGCATATATTTTAATTTTTTTTTGTAACTGAAGCCATTTGCTATAAATTAAAAAGCCCTGTTTTCCTTTGTATATTTGCTGCTTGTCCTTCGATAAGGTCATCAATGCTGATTGAGTCCAATCCATTAGGGACATGGGGTGCTCTGCCTGTCAGATGCTTCTCATTAAGATGTAGTGGTTAAAGTGCTTAGTGTGCCTTTAAAGCTTTGTTATCCAGTTTCTTTTGTTTTCCTTCTTATTTTTCTTAGGATCAAGTTTCAATGTTTTATACTCCTCCTGTGACCTAATCTCTGGTTAGATGTTAAGTGCTATAAAATGAAGGTTGATATTTTATAATGCTGTCACTTATGACCATAAAGTTATTTTAGTTGGAAGATTGTTGAGCAAAGGTTAGTAGGAAATCACACCAGTCAGCCTTTATATCCCCTCCAAATTTTGCTTGGTTATTCAGTTATATTAGCAACTATTGCCTGTCTCCTGAAAAAGTTACTGTTAATCTTAATTTGCTTTATTGTTTTAAACACATTAATATCTTTATCGACCACAATTATAATAGATTTAACTAGAGTAACCAATTGAAGATGTCATTTTTTAGTGTGGGGGTGGCAATTTTTAATCCTCTCTTGATTGTTATTGATGAGAGAGCAGGGCCACAGAGTATGTGAGATCAGCAGCCAGACAGCGTGTGAGTTGCAGAGAAGCTCCCAGCTTTCCATTGTGAATAGGAAATGGTTCTTTGACTTTCCCACAAGTCCCCTCATACGTTCCCACAATTTTACCACATGACCGGAGTCTTCATATTTTGCATTAACTTCCTTTACTACTCCAAAAGCAGCAAAGAACATATAAGAAACAAACAACCAATAAGAGACAAGCAGAGTATAATGCCCCTCCCACTGAGGTACTTACTCTTTCTTTGCTGCTCCCTCACAAGTCAGAATATTGTGTCTAACACATTGCCACTGGCTTGTCTTGTCATTATTACTGTGTTTCAACTGTATTTTATTTGAATGGATTACTTCTGTGGGGAGTTTATCCTGCACCTTTCCTTCTAGGCTGCCTGAGGGTTAAGTTTTTTTTTTTTTTTCTTTCCTATTCCCATTCCCTTCTTTTCCCTCTAGTATTTTTCCCCACAGGTTCCTAGATTCAGGTTATACACACTGTTTATATCCGTCTGGGTATACTCCCACCCTCTGTGGCTACGCTCGCCATTTTGTTGCGTCCTTGCGGCACGGTGCGCTTACTACGGTGAGCGTAAAGCACCAGGGTTGCTCTCCTACCAGTTAGGCATTCGTGTGGCAAGTCATCCGACCCTGTGCATTCCGTTACGCGTTCGGTGAAACTTCCCCCTTTGTTTGCTTAATTCCTGCGTTCACATATCGTCCACATTGTACCTTCCGAACACGACTAACAAACCATTCGCGTTCTGTAGATAGCTTCCCATTGGGTTTGTCTGTTTCTCTGTGAACGGTTCTTCATGAACAATGGCATTCACGGCTTAGCTCTGTTCGATGGGTTTTTCAACCTTCCCGCCAAAATGCAGTAGGATTTTCAATGGCTATTTTGGATTTCGCGTCACGAGAATACAAAAATTAATAAACAGGTTCAAAATGATCAACACTAAGTATAAGCAGAGTTTCATGTTATATTGAGGTAGCCCATTGAAATACATTAAAAGGTAAAATGACTTCTAGGAGAAATTGTAAATAGTCCCAGCTCCTACTGTACCTTTGCCTGATTGTATGGATTTATATAGTGCATAAACATGTTACTTTAACTATTCTACCTGTTTTGGATAATGTTGCTCAAATATTCAGCAGAGGGGAAAATTAATAATTATGAATCTAAACAAGTTAACTAAAGGCTCTGTAACTGCTATATGTCATTGACGTGGTTGGTGCCTGGAGTCTCCTGGCACAGTCCTTCCACTTTCATTTAGCTTTTTATTTTTTTTAAATTCTTTATTTTTATTGTGCAAAGGGAGGTACAAACATGGCTGCAATGCCACAATAACGATTACATGCCTTCGCAAAATACTGACAATACTGTGACATGGGATTAAACTCCTCACATTTTTTAAATTGTTAGAGTAATGCTGAGTAAGTCTGGTTAGTAAATGCGAGTAACAATAGCAAGAGGTGTGTTTACGAGAAATAAATTGACATGACTGACGTAGATTAGTAGCCTGCTGAATTGCTAAACATTATAATAAGCAAAATGGACAATCTGTCAAGACATGAGTAGAAGAGGAGCAATGAAACGTTATGGCAGCTGTATGCTTAATAAACAGTTGTAGGTTAGAAAGGTATGTATGCTAAACTACCTTATGTATCAGAATAGCGAGGCTATACATAGAAAAGCTTAGCTTATAATCGCTTGGTCCCTAGCGATATCCCCCCTGCGGTCCCCAGCATAAATAAAAGGGCTATTGAATTGCATGCATACAGGTGTGAGAGTTCATCTCGGGTATTAAAAGGTAATGAATATTGGGCACTGTGCCTGACATTGAGTCCCAGTCTTGTATGGGTCAGCTGATGCCTTGTTGGGGCTGGGTGTGCTCCCCCTGCGCCGTTAGTTGCAGCTATGGTGCGTGCCGCATTCCCCTTGGTCCAGCAGTGTAGGAGAAGTGTCTCAGTGTGGGCAGAGGACCTAGTCGGTATGTATAATGTGGCTCCAGTTGTGGTTCCCACCTGCCGGTGTATTCGTTGGCTGTGGATTTGTGCTGCTGCCGCCGTTTTAGGCCTCTTGGTCTGCCACTTGCATGTGTGGATGAGTTGGCCATTGCCCCTCTTAGGCTGGGTCATTGTCGGGGAGCGAGGCGGTGTTCTGTGCTATGCTGTGAGGGTCCCCTTAAGATGCTTTGCCTGTGCCTGGTCGCGTTCACCCTTGGTGTGGCTCTGTTAACCCAATATCGGGTTGGTCTTTTTCAGGCGCCTGTGGAGCCCGGGAAGGGAACTTACGGCGTGTGCCAGGACATTCTCTTGAGCCTCTCGTAACTGTTCCAGCCTCTCCCAGAAGGCGTAAAAAATGCAGGTGAGTCTGAGCTCAGTTTCTCTCTCTGCCTTGCAGAGGCTTGAGGCGTGTGTCGTTCCCCATTTTGTCGGCCACCAGCGACCTCCCGTCCGCCCGATCTGTTCAACCGCTTATCACCTGCTGAGGTGACCTTGAGGGGGTGGACCGGGATAACCCCTGCCGGTCCGGGGGGGAGAACGAGGGCCCAGAGTCCTACATCTGGCTGGTTCAGGCAGCAGGGAAGCAGTCTTCCTCCCTGCGCCCGCCATGCTGGTAGGCCTCGCTTTGAGTTTGGGTACGTCTGTGTAACATCGTCGCTTGGGGGTGGTGTCTGTGTGTGCGCCCTGTTATCACCCGTCACTTGGTGGCCTTTAAACTGCATTTTAGTGCCTTTCAAGCGTCTAGAATCCGTTGTTTTAGCCCCAAGCAGCCGGAGCTGGTGAGGCATGCTTCCTCTCTGCTCAGCAGTCAGGCCTCGCCCCTAGGTTTTTATTTTTAATGCTAAATAAGTTGCTAGATGCCCATCCCCCAGGTTTAGCTTGGGCTATTGAGGAAACATTAACTTACGCGGCAATGGGTGGCTACAGTTGGCTGAAATTGTCTGACTGCTTCTAGCCTATCACAGCGCCCACTGCTTATAAAAATTGGCCTTACTAAAAGGGAGTGTGCAGTCCCTGCCTTGGCCATTGAGGGCTGTGGGTGGCATGGAACCCTCCCCCACCCGTTTAACTTTTACTGAAAAAGTTTCAAATAATTACACTTATACTGCATAAGCAGAGGCACACTATTACAAAGATAAACATATAAGGGTAGAAAAAAACATATTTTTTTGTGTAACTTTCACAAAATTAGTGGAAGTGCTTGGTCTGAGGAACCAAGATTTCTTTCGTTGCGATCCTGCTTGTGAAGAAGTGGTCTGCTGCATCGCACAAAATATCAACTCTAGTAGACCAGGGGTGCTAAATCAAAATAAGGAGAATGAACAAACCCAATAAGCAACATTATCAAGGGGGACAAACGGAGGGCGGGAGGTATTGTCTTTCTTGAAATTCATCCAATGGATTTTATAAAGGAAGTCTTTGTGACTAATATTCAAAATTACGTGTGGACTGTAAAGCCTAGAGTATGTTTGATTGGAGGACGATCTAGGGACTTCCAGAAACTGTTATTTTGGCAACCACTAGGATGGGTCTACATTCTGATTGTACTTGGCAGCATACGTGTCACTGCTTGCCTTTCTTCCATCTCTGATTGGATGTCCTCCCGCTTCTTGAAACTCAATCTCTCTTAAACTGAACTCCTTGTCTTACCTCCTCCTAATACTGATCGCCCTCTATCACATCAGTCCATCCTTGCAAGTGCGCTGACTTGGCGTTATACTTAATTCTGGCCTCACATCCAGTCTGTTAGCAAATCCTGTAGATTCCACCTTAAAAACGTAGCCCGCATCCGCCCTTTTCTCACACAAGATGCTACTAAGGAGCGTGTACATGCGTTGGCTATCTCTCATGGATTATTGTAACTCTCTCCTAATAGGTCTTCCCACAAGTCGTATTACCCCGCTGCAGTCTGTAATGAATGCTGCAGCTAGACTGATTTTCCTCTCCTGTCGCTCCTCTCACACCTCTCCCCTCTCAGTCCTTACATTGGCTTCCTGTATCCTATAGGTGTCAATTCAAGGTACTAAACCACACCTATAGAGCACTGACTAATTCTAGCCCTCCTATATTTTTTCACTGATCCTCAGGTATGACCCTTCTCGGTCTCTCCGCTCTGCACATGACCTTCTCCTGTCGCACCTGTACAGCCAACTCGCACTTGCAGGCCTTCTCGCGAGTAGCTCTTTTCCTTTGGAATAGCCTGCCTATGACCAAGCTGTCTTCTCTCCAATCATTTAAAAAGTGCCTCAAAACCCATCTTTAGGAAAACTTATGGCCTTCCAGAGTAACCTCTACCTCACATACCTGTCTCTTGAACTCTCCTGAAGGGCAGCACTTTACTCTCTCCTCCGGTTCTGCTTCACTCCACCTTGTTTGATTGCTACCTTTTGTCCTGATAGGTTTTACGCCCCACCTCCTATAGACTGTAATCTCATTTTAGCAGGGCCCTCTTCAACCTATTGTTCCTGTAAGTTTTTGTAATTGTCTCATTTATTGTTAAATCTCCCCCTTTGATAATATTGTAAAGCACTACGGAATATGCTTGCGCTATAGAAATACCAGTAATGATAATATCTAGGAGGAAACATTGTCGTTCCTGTGGGAGCTTCTGTCCTGTAATATTGTGTATGATCTGGTTATTACTTTGCCAGTACAAGGAAATATTTATGCAGCTCCAGAAGATGTGGCCCAATGTGGGCAAACACTCTTGCATATATGTGGGCCAGGTGAGTAAAACCTAGACACCATCTAAATAGTTAGCGATTTTAGTCTCCCAGCAGTTTAATTCCACCTACTATTTAATGGTATAGGAGGGTTTGTCTGACTCTTGGAGCTCTAGGAGGGCTTGGTACTAGATGGACAAAGGTTTAAAAGCTCTATTAAAACCCTTGCAGAGTTGCTGGAAGTGAATATGCTAGCGGGAGAACCCATATGTGACCAGTCTTCATGGGATTGATTTCATGAATAAGTAAGAGATATCAGAGGGCTGTAGGGTGCATGCTTTGGTTAGTACAGGAAAAGGGATAATTGATGTGGAGGACAGCAACTTGGGACATGTTTCTCAGCGGTGGACAGTCTAGAGGAGGGGAAATCTGTGCATAGCATAGGGATGTCAATGCAACATAATCGAAGTGGGTATCTTCTAGTAGTGGTGTGTTTTTTTTGTTTTTTTTTTGTTTTTGTTTTTTAAACTTAATGATCTCCATAGCTGCGGGGAGTGATATGTAGTGGAGAGAGCCCCAGGGTGTGTGCGACATATGTTCTCCACATAAGCTAATTAACCTTGAGGGGAGAAATGTACAGTTGCAAGAAAAAGTATGTGAACCCTTTGGAATGATATGGATTTCTGCACAAATTGGTCATAAAATGTGATCTGATCATCATCTAAGTCACAACAATAGACAATCACAGTCTGCTTAAACTAATAACACACAAAGAATGAAATGTTGCCATGTTTTTATTGAACACACCATGTAAACATTCACAGTGCAGGTGGAAAAAGTATGTGAACCCCTAGACTAATGACATCTCCAAGAGCTAATTGGAGTGAGATGTCAGCCAACTGGAGTCCAATCAATGAGATGAGATTGGAGGTGTTGGTTACAGCTGCCCTGCCCTATAAAAAACACACACCAGTTCTGGGTTTGCTTTTCACAAGAAGCATTGCCTGATGTGAATGATGCCTCGCACAAAAGAGCTCTCAGAAGACCTATGATTAAGAATTGTTGACTTGCATAAAGCTGGAAAGGGTTATAAAAGTATCTCCAAAAGCCTTGCTGTTCATCAGTCCACGGTAAGACAAATTGTCTATAAATGGAGAAAGTTCAGCACTGCTGCTACTCTCCCTAGGAGTGGCCATCCTGTAAAGATGACTGCAAGAGCACAGCGCAGACTGTTAAATGAGGTGAAGAAGAATCCTAGAGTGTCAGCTAAAGACTTACAAAAGTCACTGGCAAATGCTAACATCTCTGTTAGTGAATCTACAATACGTAAAACACTAAACAAGAATGGATTTCATGGGAGGATACCACAGAGGAAGTCACTGCTGTCCAAACAAAACATTGCTGCACGTTTACAGTTTGCACAAGAGCACCTGGATGTTCCACAGCAGTACTGGCAAAATATTCTGTGGACAGATGAAACCAAAGTTGAGTTGTTTGGAAGAAACACACAACACTATGTGTGGCGAAAAAAAGGCACAGCACACCAACATCAAAACCTCATCCCAACTGTGAAGTATGGTGGTGGGGGCATCATGGTTTGGGGCTGCTTTGCTGAGTCAGGGCCTGGACGGATTGCTATCATCGAAGGAAAAATGAATTCCCAAGTTTATCAAGACATTTTGCAGGAGAACTTAAGGCCATCTGTCTACCTGCTGAAGCTCAACAGAAGATGGGTGTTGCAACAGGACCATGACCCAAAGCATAGAAGTAAATCAACAGAATGGCTTAAACAGAAGAAAATACGCCTTCTGAAGTGGCCCAGTCAGTCCTGACCTCAACCCGATTGAGATGCTGTGGCATGACCTCAAGAAAGCGATTCACACTAGACATCCCAAGAATATTGCTGAACTGAAACAGTTCTGTAAAGAGGAATGGTCAAGAATTACTCCTGACCGTTGTGCACGTCTGATCTGCAACTACAGGAAACGTTTGGTTGAAGTTATTTCTGCCAAAGGAGGTTCAACCAGTTATTAAATCCAAGGGTTCACATACTTTTTCCACCTGCACTGTGAATGTTTACATGGGGTGTTCAATAAAAACATGGCAACATTTCATTCTTTGTGTGTTATTTAAGCAGACTGAGTGTCTATTGTTGTGACTTAGATGATCAGATCACATTGTATGACCAATTTGTGCAGAAATCCATATCATTCCAAAGGGTTCATACCTTTTCTTGCAACTGAATGCATTCTCCAGCGCAATCCACATTGCACTCATGGATTGGGAGCTAAATTGTAGGATGAGAGCTAGATTAGTGGCGTAATATTTCAAGCAGATATCCGGCATCCCAAGACCACCTGACAGGGCTACCACATGTTAATCTGTAGGATAGTCTAGGTGGCTGTGTCATACCATATGTATGTACAGTTTTGAGGGAAAAAATGCAACCTCTTTGAATTTTATGGGTTTACATATCAGGAAATGACTGTTACTTAGCAGGTCTTAAAATTCGGTACATATAATCTCAGGTGAACAACACATGGCATATTAGTGTCATGATTTAACAAAAATATAGCCTAAATCAGTGCATGTGTGTAAAGTTTGTGGGCTTTAGAATAGAAAGTGTAATCTCTCTCAAGGTGGGTATAACCCTTCCAAGAGTTGTGGAGGACATGGGTGGTTAACAGCTCCCAGAATTAGCAACTAAAGGTATAATCTTGCCTGGTTTGAAATATGGTGTTGGCCCAGGTGGGATTTACTGTGCAATTAAAGTTGCCACATTGGAAGAGTCTCCCTCTGGTCAATTTGGAATTTCTTGTGAAGCATCTGGATAGGAAACCCATTTTTGTTTTTGTTTGGATTATCGATGGAGGCTACTGTAATTTGTTGTTGTGCAAACCCTTGAATTTTAGTCTTCCTTGAGGGTCTGCATATTTCCTGTTAAGAGAAGGACCAGACCTTGTGAAAAATATGTTCAATTTGATTTATGTATGTGAGTATGCGTGATCACTAACTGGAAATGTAGGTGAAAATAATTTAGGTGAATTGCACCTGCAGAAATGGGTCTCCTGTAGGCAAAATATGAATGCTCCAGAGGAGCGCACATCTTTTAATACCATACACCTCTTTTGGTGGCTGTTGAGGCCCTTAGCATTAAGACGATACTGAAGAACCTACTCATGTTGGTTATGGGTCATTGCTTTTGTGGGGGGATCTGATGTCCCTAGTCGGCTTTTTAGGAATGGGGTCTCCCATGGGTCTAACAAAAGCAGGGTAGTAAAGCACAGTGAACATCATAGGTAACACAAATGGATATAGCCTAATATTAACTCGAGGTACACAAACAATAAAAGCATATTTAGTGCATAGTTTAAAAACTTGAACATGTTATACTGAAAAGACATGCATTTGGGAGAGTGATGAACATTTGCCATCCAATGTTTGGCACGATTATTCTCTCTCCTACGGGGGCTGAAGATGTGAAATATGTAGCCGAGATAGGCTGATTGAAACAGTTACATTAAGGGGAAAATAGGATGTTGAACTGGGCAAGTTTAAAGAAGTAATGTCGAGAGTGCATCCTGGCAGAAAAGGCAAAGGTTGCCGCAGAGGGGAATGTGTCTAGTGACATAGGTATGTCACTGCAGTTACTCTTGGTGTCTGTTGCTGCTCAGCGTCTAAGTGGGGTAGTAGAAGCGCTGGGCTGAGGTGCTCTACTCCCGTCTGTAGAGTTTTGTGGGTGAAAGCCGGTCACCTTATCCCACTTTCCAAAGGGAGGTGCATGGGCTTCCAATGTGCCATGCAAGGTTAGCTGCAGAACGTTTTATTTTTTATTAACTTATTTTGCATTATACAGCAACAAACTAGAGTGGATAGGTAGCCTAAGGACTTTACGATATAATAGTGCAGACAATTTACAATAAATATAAAAACAATATGTGCAAGGAAACACTCACAAGATCAGAGCCAATTGGAAACCTGGCTCTGGTATAGATGGTTTCAGGATTTATTTTAGGGTGATCCTTAACCCTTCTGTGGCTGATGGTGCAGTTTCCAATAAATAGAGAAGGATCCAGAGGGTGGAATAAAAAGATAAATTTATTGAAAAAAATTATTAACATAAAAAAAAAGTGAGCCAATACGCGTTTCGCCTGTTGTGGCTTCCTCAGTCAGCTCTCCTAACCACTGTGCAGATAATGTTCTTATATATGATTGATTGAAGTTCGCGGTAAAATTCATTTTGGAACGCACTCATGCCCTATAGTGTCAAGAAAACCGCTATGTTTTCCTGACACTATAATGATCCTTTAACTTAGGGAGCGCAAAAAGCAAGTTGCACGAGAGTACCAAGAACAGACAACAACTCAATTAGCCTTCCCTTCGTTGGGTCCCCCTCTGATCTCGAGATTGTTTTAGCTCATTTTATGCAATTACAAAAATAACAGTTTCAACCTTGTTAGGCGTAGTCAGTGAGTGCATTTTGGATTTGTTCTGCACCTTTGGGTGGAATCAGTCTGATATGCAAATGGTCTGGTTATTTTTGTAACTGCACAAGATGAGTTAAAACAATCTTGAGATCTGAACGGGGACCCAACGAAGGGCAGGCTAATTGAGCTGTTGTCAGTTCTTAGTACTCTCTTGCAACTTGTTTTTTGCTCTCCTTAAGTTAAATGGGCAATCCAGATTTTGACCCCTTGCTCACGGTGCCTAGAGGGATCTCTGCTATGCCTAGGAAGTACTTGCTAAATTACTGCTAATTACAGTACTGCCATTCAGTGTCTCCACCCTCTGCATGAAGACACTGAACTTTCCTCATAGAGATGCTGATTGGCCAGGCCTGTGTTTGCCTTTTGCTGGCTGCGCCCCTGATCTGCCTAATTGATAGTCTCTGCCAATCCTATGGGGAAGCATTGTGATTGGCCTACAAAATCACTTCTGATGATTTCAGCAGGCAGTTCAGAGGCAGCAGCTGCAGACTTGAATACAAGTAAGAATTTACTATATTTAGAGGGGCTTGATGTTGCTTTTTGACACTGTAGGGTCAGGAATACATGTTTGTGTTCCTGACCCTATAGTGCTCTTTTAACCAATTAACCCCTGAGCAGAAAAAAGTTGGATGCGCCGAAACCCGAAAATGACGTTTTCCCCCGAATGACTTTAAAAGTTTTTTCCCTATAATTTTATTAATATTAGACTTTTTAATGAATTAATCTAATTTGGAGAAACTTCACTTCTCTTTTAGTGGTCCCCCCTGCTTAAAGGACCACTATAGTGCCAGGAAAACAAACTTGTTTTCCTGGCACTTTGTAGTCCTTAAGTCCTGGCCCCCCTCCCACTGGGCTGAAGGGATTAAAACCACTAGAGCCACTTACTTTTCACCACTGCCGGGCTCCCTGAAGCTGGGGAACCCTCCTCCTGCCGACGTCAGCGCTGGATGAGCCGTGCATGCATTCAAACTGCATATAGGAAAGCATTACTCGATGCTTTCCTATGGACGTCAGTCTACTCAATGTGGTTTTCAGTGAGAATCGCGGAAGCTGCCTCTAATGGCTGTCAGTGAGACAGCCGCTAGAGGCTGGATTAACACTCAGTGTAAACATAGCAGTTTCTATGAAACTGCTATGTATTCAGCTGCAGGGTTAAAACTAGAGGGACCTGGCACCCAGACCACTTCATTGAGCTGAAGTGGTCTGGGTGCCTATAAAGGTCCTTTAATGTTCCTTTCTCCCCTTCCTCTTTTTTAGTGTGTTGCTCCCCAGTCCCATAGTGATGTTGCTTCCCTCCTCCCCAGTCCCATAGTGATGTTGCTTCCCTCCTCCCCAGTCCCATAGTGATGTTGCTTCCCTCCTCCCCAGTCCCATAGTGATGTTGCTTCCCTCCTCCCCAGTCCCATAGTGATGTTGCTTCCCTCCTCCCCAGTCCCATAGTGATGTTGCTTCCCTCCTCCCCAGTCCCATAGTGATGTTGCTTCCCTCCTCCCCAGTCCCATAGTGATGTTGCTTCCCTCCTCCCCAGTCCCATAGTGATGTTGCCTCCCTCCTCCCCAGTCCCATAGTGATGTTGCCTCCCTCCTCCCCAGTCCCATAGTGATGTTGCCTCCCTCCTCCCCAGTCCCATAGTGATGTTGCCTCCCTCCTCCCCAGTCCCATAGTGATGTTGCCTCCCTCCTCCCCAGTCCCATAGTGAGTCCCCAGATGTTGCCTCCCTCCTCCCCAGTCCCATAGTGATGTTGCCTCCCTCCTCCCCAGTCCCATAGTGATGTTGCCTCCCTCCTCCCCAGTCCCATAGTGATCTTGCCTCCCTCCTCCCCAGTCCCATAGTGATCTTGCCTCCCTCCTCCCCAGTCCCATAGTGATCTTGCCTCCCGCCTCCCCAGTCCCACAGTGGTCTTGCCTCCACAGTCCCACAGTGATCAGATTTTGAGAATATTTCTGGCAGTGCACAGCTCTCATTATGAATGAAAAAGAAGGTTTAAGCACCATAACCACTACAGCACACAGTGGTTATTGTGCTGGAATTTCCCTGGAGTTCACCCATTATAAGCAGTTCATATATTTTCAAACCTTTACATGGTCTCCTTGGTGCCTGAGGTCTCTTCCCTTTCTCAGATATAGCGAAAAGTGAAGTTCTTTTTAACCTGCATTAATTACATCCGTTTCTTCTTCTTTCTTTTCTTTTCTTTTCTTTTCTTTTTTTTTTTTTTGGGGGGTGACACATTATTTAACTGGTTGTTGGCAAATACTCCTAGCCATCAAATTCTATTCAAAGATATAGGGTATTGATCTCACTAATGCAGAAGAGTGAAAAGCAAGGTGATTTAAAAGAATATTTTGCTTCCGTATAACTTTAATCTCCGTGAAGTTATGAGGGCAGGTATTTCTGGGCACCATCTTATCTTCCGACGTTAAATGGTTTTTCAACAGTTTAACCCTGAAGTTGATTTTATTATTTTGTTTTTGTTAAATCACTTTTAGGCCCGGTTAATTATTATTGCATATATCTTTTTTAATGTTTTGCCCTGGCAATGTGTGTTATGGTAGGTAATATTTGTGTTTACCTGTGGATTCTTATTAATTGAAGTCTACTATGGTGCATTGGTTTTGCACCATAACTTGATGTGTAGATTGTTATTGTATATTGATTATCCTGTTCTGCGACTTTCATTTTAATATGAATCACTATCGATAGCTTGTATTAAATTACCAAATATACTACTAGTTTTTCCATGTTTTCAGATTTATAATATGTATTTTATTTCTCGTTTTAGGTGTAATGAAACTTGTTGAATGAATTCGAGTTTCATTAAATTTACTGCTGGAGTCGTCATTTCAGCTCAACTGAAGCCACTCTGTGGCATACTTAACTTTTGATCCAGGGATTCCTTAGGAATTGTGAACTCCTGGAGGTGTCCCTTATTTCACATTCACAGGACTTTATTCATCATGGTGCTCTCACAGAGGCAACGAGACGAGCTGTAAGTGGATTTAAATTTTTAATTTATATATTTTTTTTCATTTTATTTTAAATATGCTGAGCCAAGTCAGACTTTGTTTCTGTATATTTGTAAATGTGCCCGTGTTTGTGTCAAAATTCAACAACCAAGAAATGAAACAATTGTATTCCAATCAATACTAACCAGCTCATGGATCTGTGTGTAGTTTAATTAAATTTTGGTTTGTGTTTCTTGGATTATAATTCAGATTAGATGGCAAGGCATTTGTGTTCAAGATTTGTAAATTTGTGCTTTTCATATTGTGCGGAGAACTTTCCATTATCTCCAATTAATATGGTACTCATGATGTTATTCACTGTGAGTGTTCATAGTATTTCTGCTTGGTATCTGACACTTGGATCATATATATATATATAATTATCTTGACATGTATGTATGTTATTTTCAAAGATAAAAATAAAATTCTTAAAGGGACACTATAGTCACCAGAACCATTACTATGTAATGTACTGGTGTATATAGCCTGCCCCTGCAGTCTATTCAATATAAACAATGCCTTTTCAGAAAAATGCAAAGGTTACATTGCTGCATAGTAACACCTTTGTCACTCAAACGCAATACCCACCCAATGCTTTTCTATAGGGATGCATTGGATTGGCTGAGACCATCAGGATTCAAGCCAATGGAGATGAGGCTAGCCTTGGCTAAACTGTTGCAACGTGGGAAAATAGGAGAGTTAAAAACATCTTTTCCATGCTAGTTAAAGGACCACTTCCGCTTAATGAAGTGGTCTGGGTGCCTGGTCCAGCTAGGGTTAACCCATTTTTTCATAAACATACCAATTTAAGAGAAACTACTATGTTTGTGAATGGGTTAAGCCTTCCCCTATTTCCTCTAGTGGCTGTCTCATTGACAGCCGCTAGAGGCGCTTGCGTGCTTCTCACTGTGATTTTTTTCACAGTGAGAGCACGCAAGCGTCCATAGGAAAGCATTATGAATGCTTTCCTGTGTGACCGGCTTAATGCGCGCAGCTCTTGCCGCGCGTGCGCATTCAGCCGACGGGGAGGAGAAGAGGAGGATCGGAGGAGAGCTCTCCGCCCAGCGCTGGAAAAAGGTACGTTTTTACCCCTTTCCCCCTTCCAGAGCCGGATGGGAGGGGGACCCTGAGGGTGGGGGCACCCTCAGGGCACTATAGTGCCAGGAAAACGAGTGGCACTATAGTGGTCCTTTAAGGTGCCCACACGCTCGCTGACGCATGCATCCAAAGAGGCGTGCAATCAGACTGAGGTGTGCGCTCTCGCACAGGGACACACAAGTGCTCGCAAACATAGGGACTTATGCTCTCAAATGAATTGTTTTATTACGTTTTTAGTCCACCCAGCCTCCCTACCTTTGGGAGAGCTGGAGTGTATCCTATGCCTGAGGCCCAGTGTAGCTGCTGTCCCCTTTCTGTTCTTCTTGGTCTGCTCCCTCATGCACTGTTTAGTTATGCCTAGGCCAGAGTGATATCATATTCCAGCTGCCGGCATCACAGCAGGGTGCTCAAGGGAGAAGAACGAGAAGATTACAGCTCCCTCTGATGCCCACTTGCTTCTTCTCTTTTTCAGCCGTCTGTCCACCTCTACTCTCCTCTTGTTGTCCTCCCACCTCTACTCTCCTCTTGTTGTCTTCCCACCTCTACTCTCCTCTTGTTGTCTTCCCACCTCTACTCTCCTCTTGTTGTCCTCCCACCTCTACTCTCCTCTTGTTGTCCTCCCACCTCTACTCTCCTCTTGTTGTCCTCCCACCTCTACTCTCCTCTTGTTGTCCTCCCACCTCTACTCTCCTCTTGTTGTCCTCCCACCTCTACTCTCCTCTTGTTGTCCTCCCACCTCTACTCTCCTCTTGTTGTCCTCCCACCTCTACTCTCCTCTTGTTGTCCTCCCACCTCTATTCTCCTCTTGTTGTCCTCCCACCTCTACTCTCCTCTTGTTGTCCTCCCACCTCTACTCTCCTCTTGTTGTCCTCCCACCTCTACTCTCCTCTTGTTGTCCTCCTCCCACCTCTACTCTCCTCCTGTTGTCCTCCCACCTCTACTCTCCTCCAACCGCCTTCACTATCCATCTGCCGGCCACCTCGTGGTCTTAATGGGCTTACAAACACCCAGGTGATTTGAAGTGGTTATGGTGGTTGGATTCTGTATGTGCAGTGTTTCAGCTTGAAACATTGCACGTACTGAGATACGTGTAATTGTGTGCTGGAGGATAGTTGTACACAAGGTATTGCTGAAGAGAAACTGGTTTTGTTTTGTAGATTTCATTAACAAGACACTGGTACAGGGTAACACTTTGCAATTTAGTCAGCATATACATAACTATAGTAAGGGGGAGGGGGGAGGGAGAAAGGATGCATGCCTGTTAACCATATATTTAGGAAAACAACTTATAAACCGCAAGACCAAAGATCAAGTGATTTGTTTTTCTTGAACCCCCAAGATGGCATAATTTAGCCTATAAACACTTTTTGATGTAATGTGGTTTTTTTGTGTGTGTTTTTTTTAATATATGGTGCATGATATTGCATAGAGGCAATGATTCTACTCGCCAGAACATCTACATTAAAGAAGCACTATATGGTCAGGAACACTAACATGTATTCCTGACCCTATAGGGTTAAAACCACCATCTAGCCACCTTAGTCCCCTCATGCCTCTCTAAATATAGTAAAATCTTACTAGTATTCAAGTCAGGAGCTGCTTGCTTTGTCACGGTTTCCTTTTGACCTGCCTGCTGACATCAGAAGTGGTAGCCTGATCCAATCACAATTAGGGATCGACCGATTATCGGTCTGGCCGATATTATCGGCCGATATTTGGTATTTTCGGCAATATCGGTATCGGCCAATTCAGATACCGATATTGCCGATAATATATAACAGGACCGCCGGGCCCATTACAAGCCCGGCGGTCCTGTGGGGGCCAGCAGCAAGCGCTGACTTACCTTGCAAGCAGCTCCTTCAGCTCTCTGTGTAAATCTTGCGAGACCCGCGGCCGCAGCGCGTTGCCACGGGTTACCATGGCAACGCTCCGCGCGGCACTAAGAGCCGCGAGATTTACACAGAGAGCTGTAGGAGCTGCTTGCAAGGTAAGTCAGCGCTTGCTGTTGCTGAGCCACCACTGTACTTAATAAGCCACTGGACCACCAGATAATACTATATCCCCCTCCCTGGTAAGAAGCAGAGAGGGGGGACTAAACAAAAAAAACACATTTAAATACACACACTGCACACATACTGCATTACATACACACTACTCAGACACACACACTGCATTACACACACTACACAAACACACACTGGGGGGGGAACTAAACAAAAAACAAAAACATTTAAATATTAAAAAAAATATTAAAATAAAAAACACAAATTACATCACTACACAAACACACACACACACTGCACACACTGCATTACAGACACACACTACACAAACATACTGCATTACATACACACTGCACAAACACACACTGCACAAACACACACTGCACAAACACACACTGCACAAACACACACTGCACAAACACACACTGCACAAACACACACTGCACAAACACACACTGCACAAACACACACTGCACAAACACACACTGCACAAACACACACACATTGCACAAACACACACTGCACAAACACACACACATTGCACAAACACACACACATTGCACAAACACACACAAAAACACTGCATTATACACACACTGCACAAACACACACAAAAACACTGCATTATACACACACTACACAAACACACACTCTGCATCCACTACACACACACACACACACACACACACACACACACCACACACCACACACACACACCACACAAACACACACACCACACACAAACACACCCTGCATCCACACACACATCCACCACACACACCTCCATCCACCACACACACACCACACAAACACACACCTGCATCCACCACACACACACACACCACACAAACACACACCCTGCATCCACCACACACACACACACACCACACAACACACACACCTGCATCCACCACAACACACATACACACCACACAAACACACACCTGCATACACACACACACACACACACACACACAAACACACACCTGCATCCACTACACACACACACACACACTCTGCATCACACTACACAAACACACACAGTTCCCCTGTCTAAACACACTTCATCCACTACATGTGGCATGTATATTTTGTGCATTTACCTTTCGAATTAGTTTATTTATTCAAAATAGTAAATGTACAGAATATCGGCAAGATATCGGCTATCGGCCTGAAAGTTTGCAGATTATCGGTATCGGCTCTAAAAAATCAATATCGGTCGATCCCTAATCACAATGCTTCCCCATAGGATTGGCTGAGATTGACAAAGAGGCAGATCAGATGCAGAGCCAGCCCAATTCAAACACAGCCCTGGCCAATCAGCATCTCCTCATAGAGATGAATTGAATTAATGAATCTCTGAGGAAAGTTCAATGTCTGCATGCAGAGGGAGGAGACATTGAATGCTTGGATGCTATCTGAGTGGCCAGTGGAGTTATCACTAGGCTGTAACGTGAACACTGCATTTTCTCCTAAAAGACCGTGTTTACAGCAGAAAACCTGAATGTAATGATTCTACTCACCAGAACAAATTCAATAAGCTGTAGTTGTTCTGGTGACTATAGTGTCCCTTTTAAAGAGGTGTTTTGTCATCACTCCCCCTTAAAATTGCTCATATAATGAAAACCGATAGATTTGTCATTTTATTTGTGGCTTGTTCTTGTTTGTGAACTAATAGTTGGCACCAGGAAGACTTCTATTTCCTTGTTAATAGTATTTTGTATGTAACATTAGAAGAGCAGTCCATTATAGTCAATTGACAAAATTCCCTTTGTGTCAAACTGCTTGAAAAACTAAGGGTGCCCACAGCACCTGTGGCCTAGCCCCCTCACAGCATACTGCTTGTGCAGAAACTCCACTTGTTTGTACATTGGCTAAGTATGTAAGCAGATAAACCAATGAATGCCACCTAACTTTGAATGGGATTAACGTTGCTAATGCAGGCATGTAACATCTGTAGTAAATGTGATAGAGAAAAGGAGTAGAGGCACAGGTAGTTACAATACCAAAAGGATTGAAAATAAAATTTCTCCCGAGCTGTAGCTCCTCCCACTGTAGTTCCAGCAGCCTAAACAAAATAAACATAGAAAAAGAGGTCTGTGCTTCCAGTTGTAGTGTGCACCAATGTGCTACCAAGCCTTTATTTGAAGGACCTAAAAGACAGGCAAACGTTTCAGGCACAAGCCCTTCTTCAATGCAAATGTAGTAAATAGGACTTTTTGTGTAGTAAACCTTGTCTACCTGCCCTAACTCCTTTTGATGAACTACAAATTCATTCTGATATGGGCCTATTTTGCATGTCTAACCTGTATACATCTGGATACTGATGTCTTGAGATATGGAACCTGCATACTTGTACTTGTTTCAACATGCTTTTGAGAAATATAGTGGTAACTAACATTTTGTGTTTTTGAAATTCAGTGGTGTCTGTAAATATTCATGTTAACTTTTTTTAAGCCATTTCTTAGTGAATGACATGCTCTACATATCCTGCAAAAATCTGGTGGGCCACATTTCCAGACCCCACCTCTGCACTCACTGGTCATGGATCTACATTCCGATAGTCATGTAATGTCTTTTAATGTCACATGTAATGTGAAATTTTGTTTGTCATGGTTGTGACTGTAGCACGTCTCTGTGCATTGAATTTCTGAGAACGACAAATGCAGCTTGATTGAGATATGACCATGAGACATAAAAAAGAACAAACCGAAGACCAAAGTTAAAATTGCTGAGGGAAAAAGATCGATAACACATATCCCATATCCACACATAGGAGCAGTGAAGAACTGAAATCCTGTCCGGTCCTATATACAGAAACAATACAGCAGATTGTTACCTTTTGATCTTTGTCAGTGAAGTGTAACTGATGCTCCTCCAGGCATGGCGAATAACACTTTTAGGGATATGCTAGGTAAATGCAAATATTTCAGAACAAAATGCATAGCTATTTTGAGAACGGCAAAATCTTGCCTTTTGATTAGTCTATGATCTGGTTGTAATCACTAGTCTTTCTATAACTTGTTAGAAATGTTATGGTTTGTGAACATGTATTTTTGTAAATGTATAACTAAAGTTTAGGGTTGCTGAAGACCCAAATAGACGAAATCTTGCTGGTGAAGGTAGTTTTTAAAGGGGTAAAGAGAAACCCGAACATTAGAAATTCAAACTTGTATTTATAAACCTAAATTTTGTTTCTGATTTAGGTTTAGTGTCCCTCCTTTACAAGGAGCACAAGCACCTAAGAAGTAATGTAAACACTGCAATTTCAAAGAGAAGGCAGTGTTTATAAAGGAGATGGTGCCAGGGACAGGCGCTTTACATTTATTATTATTTTTATTATGTTTGTTTGCACATATTTGAAAATACACATGCCATTCTGTTCAGATCTCCACCTCAGTCTCTTTCAAAACCCATGCAATGGTTTTGATCATGTGGTCGGTGGCATGGGCACAAGATTTACGCAGTCCTGTTAATAAAACTTATCAGGTTACCAACAGTCTGTTATCAGTTTGTCATGCCAAAAGCATGAGTTGGTGTTTGATGTGTGTTGATATATGTTAAGAGTTGTTTTTTTGTAAACCCTGGGATGACATTTATTTTGGTCTTTGATCTTGCACCAGGCCTAGACCATAAAACATCTAGATAGCCATCACCAGAGCTGGACACAAGGAATTGCATGGAGTGGGCAATAAAATGCCAGACAAACCCCTCTGATTCTCCCCCCTCCCCCCCTCCAGGGGTCTGCCCACTGAGAAACCACTAGTTTAGGTATATAATGAGGGTGCTGAACTATCCAGGGAGTTCATTTTTTTTTTCTTTGGTCATCAACTTCTAGGAGATCTATACCATCTAAGACTCCCACAAGAATTCTAGATGGGGTAAATACATGTAAGGAATTTCTTGTGTTTTCTCCTATTTTATTGTATGTACTGTTTTGCAATTTATCTGTATGTCATTTATTTCTGTATTTTGTACTCAGCACTGTGAATCTTTTTTGTCAGATTAAATGTTTACTTAATCAGCTTGTGTTTCTGTTCTCTGAGCTTCACTCTCCAGAGCAAAGCTCAGGTAAACACGTTACCAAAAAGGGTTAATTATGTGTTTGATCAGTAAAAGTATAACTGTGATTCTATAATTCTCCTGTGTGTGGGGTAACCTAAGACGCCCGGGTTTAAAAGTCTTGGTGGTGGCAGTAAAGTGTGTACTGGAGGGTTAGTGTAGTAGGGATTGCAAGGGTTAATTGAGTGGTTGCTGGGACTAGCAACAGGTAACCAGGGGTCTGGTGTCATTAACCCTGTCACTGCCACACTCTCGCCACTGTCTCGGCTGAGCCTATAGCCCACGCTCGTGACACAGTTGTAGTATAGTTTTTGCCTGCATTTTCATTTGTTTGACTAGTCAGAAGGAACCTTTTAGGTTCCAGTGTGCTTTCACACGGAAAAAATAGAGCAATTGGTCAAGGAAGAACTGATGCATGTCAAATGTAGTTGTTGAGCTGAAAAAGACTTTATGAATTGGAGTACTTTTTTTGCTAAGCTTAAATGAGCACTATGGAGTCAGGAATACAAACATGCATTCCTACACCCACTAGTCCCCCCTGGCCGCCCACGGGATGCCGGCCCCGGGGCCAAACGGATTCGCGCGTGAGGACCTGAACATCGTCTCGTACAACGTGCACGGACTGAACACCAGGGAGAAACGGACGAGACTACTACGAGACCTAAAACACTACAAGGCGTCGGTAGCCTTCCTGCAAGAAACCCACTTCCAAGAGGGTAGAGCACCAGCCCTGAAAGACCGAAACTTCCAAGTAGGATACTTCAGTAACAACCCCGTAAAGCGCACGCGAGGAGTAGGCATTCTTTTCTCCAGACTTCTCCCCTACGCGGAGAAAGCTACCATCAGGTGCGAACAAGGTAGATACATTTTCACCAAAGGCACAATCCTGGACCAAACATACACATTCGCCAACGTGTATGCCCCGAACACAAAACAACACCAATTCCTTGGACGCGCACTGAACACCTTGATGAAATTCACAGAAGGCACCCTAATAATCGGTGGAGATCTGAATCTGGCACTACACCCGGACCAAGATTCCACTTCCCCGCAAGGCGCAACCCCACACAACAGACACGCGAATACACTGCGCCTCCTCCACCACCACCAATTGGCGGACTGCTGGCGGGCTTTGCACCCAACGGACCGCGACTACACCTTCTACTCAAGGACCCACGCAACATACACAAGGCTCGACTACTTCCTCACACCACATCAAAACTTGACCCTGCTCACCACCGCAGAGATCCTACCGATGACATGGTCGGACCATTGCCCGATCCGCATACGGATGAAGTCGCCGCTGTTTAGACCCAAACAAATGTCGTGGCGGCTGAACGAATCGCTCCTATCTGACACGACAGTGGTAGATAAAATCAGCGACTCCATACGAACATACTTCGAGGAAAACGAAACCGACGACGTGACGCCACTGACATGTTGGGAGGCGCACAAAACTGTGATCCGCGGCCAGATTATCGCAATCAGCGCATCCCGCAAGAAGACAGCGATACAAGCGATCCTCGACCTCAGCCGGGACATAGCAGCCCTGGAGGCAAGACATAAACGCACCCTGGACGCGACAACGTATGGGGACCTGGTAACCAAAAGAGGTCAACTCACCACACATCTCAATCGCTCAATACAACGCTCATACCAACACTACAAACACATGATACATGAACACGGGGACAAATGCGGGAGGCTACTAGCAAACCTCCTCAAACAACGCAGGACCCAACTCTACATCCCAAAGATCAAGGACGCAAGACAGCAACTCAAACACCGGCCAGACCACATATCCGCAGCATTCCGAGCCTATTACCAGAACCTATATAACCTCCGCCAAGCAGCCCAGGAGCCCCACGGACAAACATCATTGAAAATATCAGGGTATACCTGGACTCCGCGAACGTGCCCGACATAGGTGACATAGCACGAGAAGCATTAGAAGCACCTATAACACCAGAAGAAATAGCGTACGCCATCAAAAGAGCGAAAACAGGCAGAGCACCAGGACCGGACGGCCTTCCCCTCCAGTATTACAAAACATTAACACACGTTACGACACCGAAACTCCTGGCGGCACTTAATTCCATCCAAGATGGGGCCACACCGACGGCCCAATTCACCTCAGCCAACATCACCCTACTCCCGAAGGAAGGGAAGGACCCAACACTGTGCCCCAGCTACCGCCCGATATCTGTGTTAAACACGGACCTCAAGCTCCTCGCAAGCATCCTCGCGACCAGACTGGCGCCACTGCTCCCCGCGTCAATCCACCCAGACCAAACAGGATTCATCCCAGGCAGGGAAGTGAGGGACAACACCATCCGGGCCCTGAACATCATAGCCCACGCCAAAACGCAAAAGACACCGGTACTACTCCTGTCAACAGACGCGGAAAAAGCGTTCGACAGAGTAGACTGGGACACGATGTTTGAAACACTGCGACAATTCGGCATAGGGGCGAGATACCTCAACTGGGTGACGGCGCTCTACACGAACCCGACAGCGCGGATCAGGATCAACGGTGCACTATCAGACCCGTTCCACATCCTCAACGGAACCAGGCAAGGATGCCCGCTCTCACCCTTACTATTTGCAATGACGCTAGAGCCCTTCCTCAATAAGATCCGACAGAACGCAGACATACAAGGAATCAGGATCGGAAACATGCACCACAAAATCCTGGCATACGCGGACGACCTATTGTTTGTGGTCACGAACCCTGAGACCTCCCTCCAGGCCATACAGACAGAATTCGAAGTATACGGCCAACTTTCAAACCTCCAAATCAACCACTCGAAGTCGGAGATCCTAAACCTAACAGTCAACCACGCGCTGAGAACAACGATCCAGAGACAACATCCATACCGCTGGTGCGACCACAGAATGCGATACCTGGGGGTCTGGCTCACGCCCAACCCAGCGGACCTATATGCGCAAAACTACCTCCCAATACTAAAAAAGGCGACGGAGGAACTACACAACTGGAACTCCTACTACATATCATGGCTAGGAAGGGTAAACGCGGTCAAAATGACGCTTCTCCCCAAACTATTGTTCATATTTCAAACAGTTCCAATAACAGCCCCACCATAATTTTTCACGGCACTGAAAACGGAAGTCCGCAAATTCATATGGAAGGGCAAGTCCCCCCGAGTAGCACATGCCCAACTAATCCTGCCCAAACTCCGTGGGGGACTGGCACTACCGGACTTCGAAAAGTACTATCAAGCGGCACACCTCATGAGAATCATCAGTTGGACGGTGGCCAGCGGCACGAAATTGTGGACCCAACTGGAATCAGACACGACCAACTGCGACCTCAGGACGCTACCCTGGATCCCAAAAGCAACATACAAACACAAACACATCAACAACCCATTCGTGGCGGCCACCATGCAAGTCTGGCACAGACAGGGCGCAAAACAATATCTGACGACAGACCCCGGCCCACTTCTCCCCTTGAGAGGCAACCCAGACTTCCCGGCAGGGGACATGGGCCCAACCCCGCACCCAATAGGACACAAGCCAATCATCCGCATGAAGGACATCCTCCAGAACCCCTTTGACATACGACCACTGCACGAACTATTCCCAGATAGACCTCTTACCTTCATGCACACACTCCAGAGAGCGCAAATGACACAATACGCCCGATCCATACCTCAGAAACCATCCCTCCTGAGGGACCCAACATCGTTTGAACACCTCTGTATGCAAGACAAGGAACCGCCACGGGCCATATCACAGATCTACTCGACCCTAATCACGAGCAGATACATATTGGCACCCCCATGCGTCAGACAGTGGGAGGAAGACCTAGACGAACCCATGACAGAGGCAGAATGGGACACACTCATCACCTTAATACAGAAAACACCGGCCTCAGCACGCCTACAGGAGAATTCCTACAAAATCTTCACCAGGTGGTACCTGACGCCATCAAGGCTCCATGCAAGAAACCCAGAGATAACTGACACCTGCTGGAGATGTGAGGAAGCAGTGGGTACGTTCACACACATCTGGTGGGAGTGCCCCAAGATCCGTCCATATTGGGAGACGATCAGGCAAACTATACACGAAGTAACAGATGAATTATTGCCAGAGACCCCGGTCGCCTTCCTCCTACACAAAACTACAATGCCAACACAGGCATACATCAGATCCATCATCCCCAGACTACTAAACGCGGCCAAGGCGACCATCCCCATCTATTGGAAGCAGTCCACTGCACCCCCACTGAGACGCTGGGTAGAAGAAGTGGAAGCGACGCGAAAATTCGAAGACATGAAAGCCGTCACCACGCAACAAAGGGACCGCTACTCACAACGCTGGTTCTACTGGTTACACCACACTGCGTCTGACCCCTTCCAAAGTCACCTAGCAGCAAACACCCCCGAGAGGAACGAGCGAGAGGAGGCGGGCCCGAGCGGGGAGCCGAGAAGCCCGGGGGCTGAGCGGAACGGGGCGGCGACAGGGGACTAGATAACAGACCACCAACCCACAACCCCCTCGCTCACTCACTTAGGACACGACCACACACACTAACACTCAAGACATCGACCTTAGGCATAAGAGAGGGTCACATTACCGGACTCAGGAAACAGAGACACATAATATTACACCAACCACCGGCTAAGGCGACACCCGCAAGATACACCAGCCGCACACAACACAAACACCAGGGAATATATAGAGGAACTACAGCGAATAAGCACGGATAGAACAGGATGAAACAGCGTAACACAAATGCCCCCACACTACCGACAAGAACACAGGAAACACGGGCCGCAATAACAAACCCACTCGAAAGCTGTGCTGCCCATGAGACCGCAACAGACCTGGCACAACACACGACAACAAGCAGGAAAATAGGACGAGACAGCAGGGGCCACAAATGAGACGTGTGGGAAAGACACCGACTAAGTGACTGCAGTCCAGTAGCCCGAGACGCAATAAGCACCCACAACACATACCAGCTCAATACCTCAACACACACAGCCCTAGGAACGGGTTGAGCGCACGCGGCGCAGGCAAAATCCACTATAGATGTGATAAAAAAGCGCTGCGACATGTGACAAGTCCTAAAACAAGCATCAGAATATGCACCACACTCATCAAACACACACACCAGTCAGACCATACACAGCACGCACACTATGATAGCTAATAATTATATTACATTATATAGTTAAAAGTAAAATACTCGAACCGCCTCTGCGCAGGCACCTAAACGACACATCTGCTGCAATGTGAAACGAGCCTCTGCGCAGGCAGCGAAACGCTATGATAGATACACAGTGACACAAGCCTCTGCGCAGGCAACTAAACGTTATGTTAGATGCAATGAAAAAACGCCTCTGCGCAGGCAACTGATTGTTCCGATCACCGCAACGAGAAACACGCCTCTGCGCAGGCAACCGACTGTAATGTTCAAATACAATCGTAAACCACGCTTATGACATGATACCAATAAAAATATTTAAAACAAACATGCATTCCTGACCCTATTGTGTTAAAAACACCATGTAGTCCTCGTGTGTGTGTGTGTGTATGTATCTTAAGGGGGCAGAGTCAGCCCTGGCCAATCAGCAGCTCCTCATAGATGCATTAACTAAGTACATCTCTATGAGGAAAGTTAAGTGTCTACATGCAAAGGGAGGAGACACTGAATGTCGACTACCACAGGAAGCACCTCTGGAATCCATCTGAGGAGTGGCCAGTGGAGGTATCTCTAGGCTGTAATGTAAACACTGCATTTTCTCTGAAAAGATGGTGTTGACTACAAAAAGCCTGAAGGGAATAATTATACTCACCAGAACAAATACAATAAGCTGTTCTATAGTGTCCCTTTAATGTCCTGTATCTTAGACCAGACTTAACACCTGATATATTTTCACTGACTTTAGTATGCAAGTTTTACAGATTTTAAATGATCAACTTTGGGAAAAGTACACTCTAAGCACTTTAATAAATAGTGGTCCTTGGACAGGCTGTAATGCACATAAACTGCTAATTTGTTTGCTCGTGCTTGGCTGCTCATTTCTTGGGGAATAAGAAATTTTGCTGCAGCTATAAGGTCATAACCTTTCACTTAATATTGTGGTTACATTGTTTTCTTGTGCAGGATTCGTTTTTATTTTTTAGTACCTTTTTCTATATATATATATATATATATATATATATATATATATATATATATATATATATATATATATATATATATATATATATATATATATATATATTCACTGTGAATGTTATGTACTATGCATACCATTATTCCATGGTATTCTTTACAAACTGTTATATAGCCAGTTATTCTACTGTTTTTGGGCACTGTACTTTCACACCGTGCTCTGTTAGTGTTTAAATTATAAAGCCAGGAACACAAACATGTATTCCTGACCTTGTAGGGTTAAAACCACCATCTACCCATGCTCATTCCTCCCTAAATATAGTAAATCTTACTTGTATTCAAGTCTGAAGCTGCAGGCTTTGTGCCTGTTTTCTTTAGACCTGCCCACTGCCTGCTGACCTCAGCAGAAGTGGTAGTCTGATCCAATCACAATGCTTCCCCATAGGATTGGGTGAGACTGACAAGGATGCAGATCAGGGACAGAGCCAGCACAATTCAAACACAGCCCTGGCCAATCAGCATCTCCATAGAGATGAATTGACTCAATGAATCTCTATCAGGAAAGTTTAGTGTCTGCATGCAGAGGGAAGAGACACTGAATGTTTGGATGCATTTTAGGGAGCCACGAACCAGGAAGGATCTCTAACAGACATCTCAGGAGTGGTCAGGGAAGTTATATCTAGGCTGTAATGTAAACACTGCATTTTCTCTGAAAAGACCGTGTTTACAGCAAAAAGCCTGAAGGTAATGATTCTACTCACCAGAACAAATACAATAAGCTGTAGTTGTTCTGGTGGCTATAGTGTCCCTTTAATTATGGGAATTATTTATATTGTGACCATATGTTCTGCTGCACTTTAAAATTATACAAAGGAATTTGTCAAGTAATTGAAATACAGAGACAAGATGTGAAAATAGCACTGCTCAAGTGTTTACAATCAGAGAAATTGAGGTTGGCAGATATATATCGTTGGATATTACCTGTTCTAACCCGCCTTTATTCTGTCCTGTGGCTGTTTAGCTGTTTCCACATTTCTTATGTTTTTATTTATTTTATTTTTTTTGTGTAAGTTTCCTATGAATATACACATTTTTTTGTTCAGTGATATAACCTTTATGTCCACCACTTTTTATTTGACTGTCTTCTGAAATTCAAAAAAAAAATTTCTCTCCCAAAACTTGTTAAAATTTCCTGTGAAGAAAACGGTCGCTTTTTCGAACAAAATTATGATCAATATGATGCACTATTTAACTATTTTGTGTGTTTCTATGCAGTATGTTGCTTAATAAGTTTTCTTAGTGTGGATTAGATTTTGGATATTTTGATTTTAGATTTTTTTTTTCTTCTTTAAAGGAATACTATATTAGGAACACAAAGCTGAGTGTCCGTCTGACAGTGTCCCTCTGTCATTGGAAATGCAAAGTGTGAGGACGTCCATCGATTCACTGAATTAAACTCCATGAAACAGCAGGCAGTACCTCTAGTGGCTGGCTTGTAGAAAGCCACTAGAGGCAATCTTCACCCTTTAAAACTGAAATAGTTCACCTGCGTGGACAGGAATAGTGGGACAGGAACAGCGCAGCCAGACCACTTCAATGAGATTGAGTGGTCTGGGTGCCTATAGTAAGCCTTTAAAAGTTCTTATCTATAGACTTAAAATATGCAATTTTATATCTACTAAAACTACTATACAAAGCTAAAATATATAATTATTATAGTAATGCACATGTCCATGCTAAGCTCTGTTTCTCATACACATTAAAAGACCATTGCTCAATTTGCAGGAGCAGTTTTGAGTCTCCAGAATATTTACAGGAATCCTGCAAATTGTGAGAGGCAAGTTGCGATTCTTAGGAGAGTCCAAAAAACTGTTATACAGAGGTCTATTGGATTAATACTTCCCACTGCCCAACCTAGGACATGATCAGCCAATCATGTTCTAATGCTGTTGACCCTTTTATAGTGCTTTTGTCCCATAAATGATTGAACTGCAGAGCCTTCTGGGCAGAATAGAGGGTTCTGCGAGCTGTAGCTCAGTTATCAGCTTTTCTTTTTTTGTTTTTTTAATGAAAGCTGTTGCATTAACTGCAGCCTACTTGGCTATGATTCCTGGTAACATTGTCCAAATGTGTTGTATAGTGCAGTTTAGAATGGAAGGACTCTAAAAGATCTGTACATATGTACAGTATCCAGCAAGGAGGAAGTATATTCTAGTGTAAGAATTAGTGTTAAGATGTAGAAAAATACAAAACATTGTATTTTTGCTGGAAAAAAAATCAGATTTAGCATTTTAATAAAGCCAATTACCATCAAATGCTTTAAATCTCCTGACACAAAATGGACACTCCAGACGAAAAATGGAGTTTGTGTCTGGACTGTCCCTTTTTGCCTTCATGTGAGTCTGTCAGAACATATTAGCCCCTTGCACAATGTAAGGCTAAATGTTTGCTCCATATAAATTATACTTGTTGAATGTTTGTTTGGGGTGTTTTTTTGACTTTAACAGGGTGATGGGCAGAATGACTAGGTTTAGTTTTTCCATTGAATTCATTAATGCAGTCTTTGTGTCAGTTACTGTCTTGTGATTTCATGTCATTGAAAATGTTCAAAATCTTATGAAATGGGCTTTAGTACAAACTTTTCTTGCTTTCAGAAATCGGGCAATAGCAGACTATCTTCGTTCCAATGGCTATGAAGAGGCCTATTCAGTTTTTAAGAAGGAAGCAGAACTAGATATGGTAAGGTTTTCAGCTATAAGCATTTGCATTTAAGCTTGTACAGATGTTTTTGTGTAATGGGGGATGAGGTACTATTTTGTGTTTAAAAAAATTAAGACAATACTCTCAGGTACTGATAATGTCATCCAATGTTTTATTGCAAACCAATTAGTCATATTTAGTGCAAACTGTGTCACAAAGTTTCCCATGTGCCGGCATGAACATTCACTAACTACCATATTAAACACCAAGGTTGCCAGTGCAGGTAATGGAAAAAATGGAATATATACAATGGGAAAGGCACCCATGCTAAAATCCCAAGGCTGGATAAACCTCCTTTACAAACCAAAAACATGCAATTCTCAGTGGGTGCTGCTGTAAAGATCAAAATACACAAATGCCAGTTTATGGAACAATGCACACAGTTTTACATTTTATAAGATTACTTAAAAATACCCAGCTTGACAAACAAATATGGGGATTTGGTTACATTATATGCGCACATTGCAGAAGTGTTGCAGTTAGCATGTTTAGCTCCCATTTTCATATGACAATGAACTTTACTTAGGCAGATTAAAGGAATACTCCTGGCATCATAATCACTGCAACGCACTGTATTGTTTATAGTAATTGGAGTGTTCCTTAAATATGTTCAAGTGCCAAAAATAAATATTGGCTTAGAGCATTGGTGTATTCCGGTTGGCTCATGAAGGCCACTGAAGGTTACTTCTCCAGCAGCATGAGTATGTGCAATGATTTTTATTGAAACCCTTCCCATATAAAGTCCTTGCCCTATGACCACTGCAAACATTGAAGTGGTCTTGTTGCTTGGGATAACCATTTAAAATTTGACTCCTCATTAATGTACTTCAGTAAAGTCTAAAAATTTAGATCTCGACTTAAGGACTGAGCCAATTGTACAAATTGTGATCACAACAAAACATAACGTGACTATCATCGTTGTGATATGTTTTACTGTTTTTAAAAACTAATATTTGTGTTCAGCGAAGCTTCCCGAGTAAAACCGTACCCTCCCATGTACAGGTTTTATGGTGTCCTGGAAAGTTACAGGGTTAAATATAGGGCTTGTGAGCCAAATTCTCTGGACTTTCTGCCTGGGTTGTTGGGCAGGTCCCTCAGAATGTAAGTAATAAAATGACTTATATAAATATATTTTGTAGAATTTGTGTGTGTGTAAAAATAGGTTATGGTGGGGAAAAATTGTGATTAAAAACCCCTTCCACCTGAAGTCTGTGGATAGTTAATACAATGTTAAACAAAAATCTGCACGCCAGTTCACTGGTTTTGCATCTTTTCCTATGTTGTGTTTCAAGCTGTTGTATACAGCAAACACAGATTAAAAAGGAATCCATGTTTAAAATGGAATGAGGCAAAAATGTGATTCTTTGTTAAACTAATTTGCATATGCCCACCCAGAATCCTTTGCGGTTGTAACATCGCTGCAGTTTTGGGATTTCTGTGGGAAAAGAAAGGCTTGACTGGTGTGCAGATTTTTGTTTAACATTGTGTTAACTGTAGTAGGAAACCTCATGCATGTTCATGATTGCATTCCACTGTATATCCATACTCGCGCTTATGTGCTGTCAAACTTCTAATACATATATTACATACAAAATACATTTAGAATGAAGTTATAAATATATATATATATATCTATGTATATATCTATGTATATATCTATGTATACATATAGCCATATATAAATGTAATGTCATCATGAGTTTGTTGCAAATTAACAAGTAGCTAAGTAAGGAGACCTAACGAGCATTATACTGTGTTAAGGCTGCTCTTACGTTTTATTGTTTAATAACTATCTGGAGTCCCCCCCATTGAACTTCCTAAATAGAATTCACAATGATACATTTCTTAAAGTCATGTTGAAAGCTTTTGCATTCAAAAATATTGTCAATTTCTGTGTCCCTCAGGAAAATCCAAAATGCTTGCAGTAGTGAATGTAGACTTTGTATAAATCAAAAAGCCTTTTACATTGTTTGATATTAATGTCTTTTGTTTCTTCTCACCTTTTTTTATTCCACATGTCTCTTATTCGACAGCTTAGGAAAGTTTGTAATGGGCTGTGACTCAAGTTGAGTGACTATGGAAAGTACTGTACCTGAATGTGAAATACACGTTTGCTACATACATATATCACAGTTAAATATAACACTGCAAATGTTGTAGCCAACTAGGTAACTGTACTAGTTAGTTGACTTGTGCTTTTAAAACGAAATACAGCTCAACTGATTTTTTTTTTTTTTTTTTTTTTAAGTCGGCGCATAGCCTGAATTATGTGTCATATTAACCGATCATGAAACAAATTAACTGGGCAATACACGAAACATTTAATTTGTTTTGCGGTTTAGAGATCCTTTATATATATATATTTTTTTTTTTTGGCATTAAAAAAAGGGGATGGAGGCAGATTTTTTTCAGTTGGTATATGCTGGTTGTATATGTATATATGTATGATATATATATATATATATATATATATATATATATATATATATTTATTTATTTATTTTGGGGGGGCACAGTCACTCACACTACAGGCTGGGTGGGAAAAGCGTTTTTCTTCTCAGAATGGTATGGGAGAATACCATTTTTCCTTTTTTTTTTTTTTTTTAAATTAAAAGTACATCCTGCTGCTCCTCCCTTTTTTTGTTATTTTACAATATTGCTAAAGGAAAACTAATCCCTTTTTTAAAAAAAAATTTTTTGAGCTATAATAATGATGATATTGCAAAAATGCCTCATGTTGTTGTCGCCTAGGCAATATTAACCATTTTTGCATTGCCGTACACTAGTATGTGCATTTTATAGTCACCTTGGTTGTCTGTATTGTGTTTCCCAAAACAATTGAATGAACAAAATTGTCTGAAACAAATATTTAATATAAACAAAGAGGGTCCAGCTCAGTAGTTTCTAAAACTTAACTTTTATTGTTGCAAATCTTTTAAATGTATGTGGAACACTTAAAGGACCACTATAGTGCCAGAAAAACAAACTCATTTTCCTGGCACTATAGGGTCACTAGGTCCCCCTCCTGCTGTGCTGAAGGGATTATAATAAATAATAAAATATAGATTTGAAAGAAAGAACTAGTGTATACTAGTTATCCCACTCTTTGGTGGGGTTATGCTCATTTTTCAGCTAGTTCACAAATATATATATATTTATATCTTACTCTTAAGCACCCTTTTTTGTGTTTCAAATATTAAAGACTGATCAGTTTGGATAAGTAAAAATTTTATTTATTTTTTTGCTGGGCACTTTTTCTCATGTTCTCTCTATTTTGTTTGTGTGGTTTATTTATTTATTTTTTGTTTCCTCTTCTTTTTTCAGAATGAGGAGTTAGACAAGAAATATGCTGGTCTCCTTGAAAAGAAATGGACATCTGTAATCAGATTACAAAAAAAGGTATACCGTGTTTAATTTAATAGGTTTATTTAGTAGTTTTAATTATTTTGTGAACATGAAAAGGTTTGTATATGATATAGAAAACTGAATATAGCCCCACATTTTGTTTCTTATACATTCTGTACTGTGGATTGTGATTTTTGTCATACGATTGTTTATGCAGAATATATATTTTTTTAATATCCTTTATAAATGGCATAAAATAAAAGCTTTATATATAACTTTAGAATAATCCACATGTGACGGAAGAAAACAGGCCATTGTATTTTAGGGTGTTTAAAATAAAAATTTGTTTAATTCTTTGAAACAGTAATTTGGTGTATTATATTGGTGAATACTACAGTGGATGAGTCTACAGTATCTGGTATATTAGTGTGCATTCTACACTCATTTAGTATTTTAATACCCGGATTTTGTTATATGTTGCATCACCAGGAAAAAAGCCATTAGGTTCATTACAAATACCACAAAACTCTATGTTTGACCCCTCCCCTCTATGGACCGTGTCTGAGATACTGCAAGGATAAAGAATCCATGTAATCTGTAAAATATTTTATTTTTCAAATATATCTGTAAAGTTGATCAAATTAAAGTTTAGGCATTTCACTTTTTGCAACATCTATAAGTAATTGGGGTGTCTGAATTTAGTGCCTGCTACTTAGCCAGGGTTTAAAATGTTACGCTAAATTTTAATTTCTCTGTCTCTACCTATCGATCTAGATGTTGGAGGAGTTTATTCACATCCAGTGTTAGGAGAGTTAGTTTCTCTTGCACTGCATCACACTAAAGTCCAATCAAATGCTTCTCATGATGCATTCTGAGCCTGGGAGGTAGGGAGTGCATGCTGCCAACAAGCTAAACGAAACCTATACAGAGTCCTTCCTCCATGACCACTTCTAAAAGTGTTCATGGAGACTGGAGTAATCCTTTAAGAAAATAAGCAGTCTACTCCCTTTTATGTTTACATCACAAAGTGAATGTCTGTGGCAACTTCCTAAAATTTGAGTAATCAAAAGAAATAATTCAATCTTTTCCATGGTGACCGCTCCACTATTAAAGCTTTGTACCATATTTTTATTTAATTTCTTTATGCATAACCCCCTAAGAAACATAATGAGTAAAGAATTCTGTTCCTATTTTTCATGAATCTAACATTTTAATGTGCAGAGGTTACTTATGGTATTGGCTTTATAAAAGCTATTTTTACTTTAGATTCTTTGTCCTCAACAGAGAATTTTTCCCCATGATGAAGTCATGGTTTTATTATGTAAAGCACTTTTTGTTTTATAAAGGACTTCATGTGTAAGGCATATATAATTTCTCCATGTAAACAGAAGAGATCAACTATTGATGATCAAACAAGCAAATGTTTATTTTTCTATTTTGTCAGGTTATGGAATTAGAGTCAAAGCTAAATGAAGCAAAAGAAGAGTTTACTTCTGGAGGTCCAATTGGTCAAAAGCGAGACCCCAAAGAATGGATACCTCGCCCCCCCGAGAAATATGCTCTAAGTGGCCACAGAAGTCCTGTAACGCGTGTCATTTTCCATCCAGTATTTAGTGTTATGGTCACTGCTTCAGAAGATGCAACAATTAAGGTAAATGTACTAACCTTTTGGGGATGTGAAATGTTTTGTGTGTGGTCTCTCAACCTATCAGCGACTCTCAGTTCGACACTTTTTGACCTAAGCCTTGGACTATGGCAGAAAGAGCTCGGTGGCATTAAGTTGCTATGGTGCCTATATTTTTTTTTTTTTTTTCTTCCTTTAATCTGCGCCTACTTCGTCATGCATATTGTCTTTTTATGCATGACTGAAAGTTGGAACAAAACAAATCTGGCTATATATATCTATATCTATATCTATATCTCTATATATATCTCTTCTGTATATTTTGCCAGATTTGTTTTTTGTTCCAACTTTCAGTGCCAGGTCTTTTCTAGACTTAATTGAGCCAATAGATTTATATTTCAGCGGGACAATCAAATTTTTCAGGTCCTGTCCTGACTGTCACTTAAAAAAAAAAAAAAAATAAGTGTAGCATGAGCCCATCTATAGAAATGATCACTTAACATTTGAGGGCACTAGGACCTCTGCAGGTAGTATTGAAACTGTTGCCTCTGTAACCGTACGACAGTCATGGTATACCCTTTTGATGTGGGAAGAGAGGGAGGAGTCCATGAGGTGTGCTGTGCCGCCCTGCAGCGGCAAAGCCCACATTTTGCAGTGCCGCATAGTACGCATTAAGGGGTTAATGAAACTTATTTCTATTTTTAAACGTACATTGAAATTGATGAATGTTGGGCCACCCTCTGTTATCTTTGTTTAAAGGCAAGAAGTGAAAATTTGTTGAACGTTGTCCTTTTTGTGGAAGCCGTCTGTGACACGTTGCCTTGTTTTTCTGGCCAGGGGATTGTACAGTTTTTATTATGTAGAACTGAATCTAGCATTCAATTTCAGGAAATTTAATGCTATACACTTGCTATTGCTGGCACAAACATTAAATATTAAATGTTTATTCATGTCACTGCTTTCTTGGTACCTCAAGATACATTGACATCTTATCTCCATTTTCAGTCTTGAGAAAAATGTCAGCTAGCCTTTGTTTCTTTTGTAAATGATTGGTCTGGAATTTGCTTCCCACTAATTAAGATGTGTGCTAATCCAGAAGTCGAATAATAATTGCTTGTCATCACCTTTCATGTCTGTGAGATGGCGGGTTTGAGTTTCCTGTGTCACTCTGTTTCTTTGTTTTTGTGAAGGCAGTTTTCCACACTAGCATCTTTCTTGCTGGCTGTCTCAGTATGTGTTAAGCAGGTTAGTTTTGCAATGGTTTTGAGGTTTAGTTTTTCTGGGTTTTTACTCATTTTTCATTTGAAAGCAACTTTGTTCCTATAATCAAAAAGTAAAACCTGTCATGAACACAACTGTATTCCCTCTGTATGCAAAGGACAACTACTTGGATACATTGTAATGTCAACCACTGGTCCTGTTTGCTTTTTATTCTTGTAAGTGTGACACTCCTCATTGTGTGACCCATGTAACCATCAGAGAGTATGATGACTCTTGCATTTACCAGAACAAAGCTTTGTTCATCTAGCATGTGACTTTTTCTGCCAAGCTCTGCTGCGGCACATTCTTTGCTTGCATTTATTTCCCCACCCAAATCCTTCGGTGAGATGCTGTACATCTCAGTATTGTTCCTTCTTAAGAAGATGGGCTAGAATTGACCCATTACATCCTCATTATGCTGTATTTCTATATAGTAGAAATGTGGGGAAGGCAATTTTGACAATTCAATAAGGGATTCATTTAAAAAGGGATCTGCTATGGCTAGGTAAAGTGCACAAAATATCATTAAATTATTGTAAATATGAAAATATTGTTTCATTTTAAATCTAAAATTGTAGCTTATTTTTTTTAGGACTTTTCTATCCTTTTTTTTTTTTTTCTTAAGCTACATATAAATCACAGATATTGTCATGCAGTAGTATAATTTCACAGATTATGCCTTATCTTGAATAGAAATCATTATCAACCTCAGTGTATTCTTTGTAAAACATGAAACAAATACTAATATTTAGAACCTGATGTGATGTAAGTAGTCAGAGCAGGCTGAGGTGACTGAAATATTTCAGATTATCTGTTTTTATGTATTTATCCTTTGTGGTAATACAAGTATAAATATGTCAATGGAAGTGGTTGCAAACTAACATTTTTAAGAATTACAATGTGATTATTTTTTATTTCTGGGGGAGAAGAAAAACCTTAGATATTTAAGCGTGTGTGTTTTCTTTCCCAATCTACATTGCTCTTATAGATTTGCATTTTTTTGTTGTTGCAATTTTCAATTCCAATGTACAGTGATAGTCGTTGATAGACAATGAAATAATAAAGGCATATTTAGTGAACATTACTGTATTACAGACATTTCCCTGTATTGTGTGCCTTATAAATTGCACATCGGCTTTTTTATATTTTAATACAACAAGTGGAGGTGCTGGGGTAGGGGAGGAGGGGGTAGATAGAGGGTGTTGAAAGAACATGCTGTTACATGTGGATTGTTTCGGTTCATTACACTTATATTATACATACACATAGGTATAATTCTTGTCACAGCTGTCGGGGCTTCCAAGCGCCTCAGTGGGGTGAGGTGATTGCAGTTTTGTTGTTTGCAGACATAGTGACATGCCTCCTTGGAGAGGTCTGATGGACTAAGGAGGCTGTCATGGTAATGGTAGGTTATCTTTGTTAGTGTTTAAAATGTATAACTCCCATGTCATCCATGCTGAGGTTATGAATGGTTTTGGGGGGTAAATGTTTGCGTGCCATAGTTTCATGGCTTTTGGTTAACGCTAACGTTTTGAGCCATTGGGTTTGTGTTGGTGGATCTGGCTTGCGCCAGAGTCTGCTAATCATTTGTAGGGCTGCCACGATAATGTGGTATATGAGCCTTGGCTAGGCCGTTTGGGAAAAAGTTTAGTAAATAGATTTCCGGAAGTTTGGGTAGGCGTATAACCTGTGCTATTCCTGACCAGTAGTGCGTTAGTTTTGGGCATGACCACCAAATGTGGGTCTTCGTCCCTTTGTCTGCGAGACAGTGCCAACATGTATCTGGCAGGTTCGGGTTTCAGTCATACTGGTACCATATATCAACGGTATAAAATGTTGTGAAATTTCCATATGTGAGGTACACAGTGATACATTTTTGTGCGCCCTGAGTATTTGGGTCCATTGGCTCTCAGAGAGAGAGAGAGACGCCCAGCTCTCGCTCCCATGCCCTAGTAAAGGTGAAGGATTGGGGCTTGGCTATGACACCATTTTTGGCGTGTAGGATGGAAATCAGTTTCTTGGCTGGTTTTAGTCTGAGACAGATCTGCTTCACCTCAGTCAGCTGTAGACCATTTACAATGTTGTGTGAGATAATTTGCTTTTATAACCATGACAATAGTTGCACATATGAGAAGTTTGCATTATTCTGTGTTGTCTGTATGTTGTCAGTGTTGGCCCTTGGAAAGTATGATATACAGGTGATACTCGAAAAATTAGAATATCGTGCAAAAGTTAATTTATTTCAGTAATGCAACGTAAAAGGGGAAACTAATGAGGTGGACGCATTACATGCAAAGCAAAATAGTTCAAGCCGTGATTTGTCATACGTGCGATGATTATGGCTTACAGCTCATGAAAACCCCAAATCCACAATCTAAATTAGAATATTGTGAAAAGGTGCAATATTCTAGGCTCAGTGTCCCACTCTAATCGGCTAAGTAAGCCATAACACCTGCAAAGGGTTTCTGAGCCTTTAAATGGTCTTAGTCTGGTTCAGCAGGAGTCACAATCACGGGGAAGACTGCTGACCTGACAGTTGTGCAGAAAACCATAATTGACACCCTCTATAAGGAGGGAAAGCCTCAAAAGGTAACTGCGAAGGAAGTTGGAGGTTCCCAAAGTGCTGTATCAAAGCACATTAATAGAAAGTTATGTGGAAGGGAAAAGTGTGGAAGAAAAAGGTGCACAAGCAGCAGGGATGACCGCAGCCTGGAGAGGATTGTCAGGAAAAGGCCATTCAAAAGTGTTGGGGACTTTCACAAGGAGTGGACTGAGGCTGGAGTCTATGCATCAAGAGCAACCACACACAGATGGATTCTGGACATGGGCTTCAGATGTCGTATTCCTCTTGTCAAGCCGCTCTTGAACAACAAACAACGTCAGAAGCGTCTTACCTGGGCTAAAGAAAAACAGACCTGGTCTGTTGCTCAGTGGTCCAAAGTCCTCTTTTATGATGAGAGCAACTTTTGTATCTCATTTGGAAACAAAGGACCCATAGTCTGTAGGAAGAACGGAGAAGCACACACTGCAAGATGCTTGAAGTCCAGTGTGAAGTTTCCACAGTCTGTGTTGATTTGGGGAGCCATGTCATCTGCTGGTGTTGGTACACTGTGCTTTATTAAGTCCAGAGTCAACACAACCATCTACCAGGAGATTTTGGAGACATCATGCTTCCTTCCGCAGACTAGCTTTATGGGAATGCTGACCTAATTTTCCAGCAGAACTTGGCACCTGCCCACACTGCCAAAAGCACCAAAGCCTGGTTCAATGACCGTGGGATTACTGTGCTTGATTGGCCAGCAAACTCGCCTGACCTGAACCCCAAAGAGAATCTATGGGGCATTGCCAAGAGAAAGATGAGACATGAGACCGACCAATGCAGAAAAGCTGAAGGCCGGTATTGAAGCATCCTGGTCTTCCATAACAACTCAGCAGTGCCACAGGCTGATAGTTTCCATGCCACGCCGCATTGATGCAGTAATTGCTGCAAAAGTGACCCAAACCAAGTACTGAGTCTATATGCATGCTTATACTTTTCAGAAGTCTGATATTGTTCTATGTACACTCCTTGTTTTATTGATTGCATGTAATATTCTAATTTACTGAGATTGTGGATTTGGGGTTTTCATGAGCTGTACGCCATAATCATCGCACTTATGACAAATCACGGCTTGAACTATCTTGCTTTGCATGTAATGCGTCTATCTCCTATATTAGTTTTCCCTTTTTACATTGCATTACTGAAATAAATGAACTTTTTGCATGATATTCAAATGTTTCGAGTATCACCTGTAGATGTGTAATGTGGTGTTTGTACCATAGTTTGTACCCACTTCCAGGGGTAATGCTCGGGAGGTGCCTCAAGGTAACCTGTGTTTCTCCCAAATCTGTAGTGCAAGTTTGGTCGTGGGGAGTGTTTCCTTTTGTTTTGGTATCAGCTTCCTAGATATCCATGCGAGAGCAGGGATGGTAAAATCATTAGTGTATATTGATTATATGTGGACCCACTGGGGAGGAGGAGGGGGGTCTGAAGCTGGCGTATAGTATTGGGCTAATGATGGCCGCTTTATAGTAACTCGTGATATCCGGTAGGCCCATGCCCCCCTGTGGGAATGGTTTGTAGAGGGTAGACTTTGCTATTCAAGGCCTGGAATTATTCCAGACGAAGGAATTTACAAGTCCCTGCACCTAACGCAGGTAGTTGTTGGGGACAGCGAGTGGTATGGTTCAAAATAAATATTTGTAGTTTCGGGAGAAGTAGCATTTTGACTGCCCTCATCCTGCCTACACAAGAGATGAATTTCCCTATCCAGCTATGTATTTTTGTTTTCAGGTCAGTGAGCAATAAATGGTAATCTGCCTTGTAGATGCCTGATAGATGCAGTGTCAGGGCTATCCCCGAAAACTTAAGAGAGTTTGTGCTTCTGTGCGCCATTCATATGCAAACGTCTCTTTTAGGTGATCTAATGCGTGCCTTGGGACATTTATGCCCATCGCTTAAAAGATTTACATTGCATTAAAATGCATGTCTGTACATTACAAGATGGTAGTAAGGGGTTTGTTTATAAATATACTGTGTCCCCAGTTTTTGAAATCTTACCTATATATTAGTTACACTTCATGGGATACTTTGTTTGATTTGTACACTTTATTTTCCATAATGTAATTGTAAATGTTATGAGGAAGTACAGAATTGTATGTTTTTTGCAACATTTTTATTCTTCTAAATTGGAATAGTGTATATTGCTAGGATAGGCATTGTATATTGACAAATCTGGAGGTAGGTTATTTTTTTTATTTTTTTTTTAAATCTACTGGATCACAATTATTTTAGGAAGTAAATTGTATTTTTTTAACTGGCTCTTACTTAAACCTTTTCCAAGCATGTCCTTTCCCACTGCGTTTTAACATTATCGTAGACGCCTTGTATTCCAGTGAAGTTGAGACCTCGTTTAATGTAGGTATAATTAACGGATTTAACACGATCATGAACACTTGCTGACTAATGATGTACCCTTATGTCGGAGAGAAGTGCATTTAGAAAGCATGACTGGGATGTTTTGGAAATAGCCATATGGAGGTGTGTATCCAAGGCAAGCAATTGCCAGGACAGCTGACCCTAGCGATTTTGCTTGCTTTCACTGGCAGCCAGCTGAGTCCCCAAATAAGTAAATGCAGTGGTCACTACATGTGCCATACTACTACTGGATACTGCAGGTCCAAGGCAATACAGTAATTGCCCAACATGGCTGTTCACAGCATTGCAAAACCGTGACTACCAAATACCGTGATCCTACGCGAATTGACAACTGATGCACACCTGCAACAGTTAATGCGGTTTAGCTCATCAATGTGCTATTGCTGTCTGCCTCTGCAGTGATAGTCCAGCAATTATGGTAGATTAGCTCTTGGATTGTGTGTTCTATCTGGTAACAAATCCAAGTGATGGTGTGCCTTAGTTTTCTGAGACACTTTTACATCTACTGGGGTGGGTCCAGTTTGTGTTGGTTAGGGTTGGAAATTACTTAGTTTGAAGGTTAGTATGGTGACTGATAGTGCCACTTCATCAAACAGTATCTATTTAAAAGCTTCATGTCTGTAATTTGCCCTACAAGTTCCCAAAAACCTTGAAAAGATATTTGGGGTATTGCTGTATTCAAGAGAAGCAGTTAAACTGATTACAAATCTTGGATCTTTGAGTTGGGTCAAACAGAGTCTGTGTAATTTACCATAAAAATGCTCAGTGTGTGTGTGTATATATACACATATATGTATTTATTTCCTTGGAAATAGTATGCCAAATTGGGATCCTATAGTTCCAGGAAAACAAAGCAGTTTTCCTGGCACTATAGGGTTTATAGGTGAAGGGGTTCAGTCACTTACCTAAATCCAGCACCAATGTCCCACAGCACTGGGTCAGGCTTTGCCCATGCTCCTCCCCCGGGCTTATCTAAAAGTAATAAATACGCAGTCTGTGAAATTTCCAACAAAATGGTGGAATATGTATGATATAGTTAAATGAAGTGTCATACCTTTTAGCAGTTTTGAATTTTGTAACTATTAAAGCGGCTCTCTCGTCAAAACTAAACTTTATCTAATTAACTTTCTAGATAGAGTTGTATCTAAGCAGAATAAGCTGGCGCTATAAAATACCAATAATAACCTAAAACTATAATTTACTCCCTGCAATGTTTATCATATACCTTCCAAAAATTTATTTTAATTCTAAACATAAAACTCATTTTAGCATTGACGTGCTATTTTTTTTTTCTATTGAGTTTTTTCTTTTTTCTTTGTACTAGTTGTAATACAAGTAAAACTCTTTTTCACTTATATAAAAAAAAAAGTATAAAATCTGATGTGCTTTTTGGAAAGCATTAAATTACAGTGGAACAAACACCAAGCAAAATTGTCGCAATCGCACACGGAATGTGTTTAAATGTAGAAGAATGTTATTGGCAAATAGCTGGCACTATAAGCTTTGTAACTACTGTGAAAATCTGGTGATGAAACACCTACAAAAATAAGGTTTCTGTTTATTAAAAATAATCATATCTCCCCCTAATATCTAAATGCTACTTCCCCTTGTAGGTGCTGCTCTCTGCAAAGTATGTAAAAAGTGTATTCAGTCTAAAAACCAAAAGAAAGATCCACAAAACCTTGTCTTTCGTAGAGTATTTAAATTTTATGGAATCAGAACTGAGTGAATAGTTCATCTTTGTGAAACTTAATTTGTCTGAGATATTTTAAGTCTGGTAGTGGTTATGGTGCCAGGTGTGTCCTTGAACATATCCAGACTAAGTACTCAAACAATTTGAAAATGTTTTGACTACTTGCCTTGGTCCTGCTGGACACCCATTGCTGCAACCTCTGCAACCAGACGCTCCTGCAATGAGCCACGGTCAGGCAGAGCAGGTTTGTGCTTATCGGTTTAGAGCGCTCATATTTCAGCCACTGAGAGCAATCCTGCTTAGCTCAGTGCAGTTGACCTGCAGGAGAATCTGAAAGCAAGACTATGGGTTCCTGTTGGGATGTAGGCAAGTTCTCTGAAAAGTTTTGGCCAATTGACCGGGTACTCCTGATGCCATAACACTACAGTGGGCTGAAGCGTTTATGGTGTTTTGAGTATTCCTTTAACATTATTCAACTGGTGACCGGCATTAAACAAAGGTTAGTGTTTAATTTTTTTTTATTTTTTTTTTTGTGTGTATATATTTTACGGGGAACACGAGACCACGATAGTGTTAATGTTTTATGAAAACACTTTTTTGGTCGGAGCAATCTTTTAATCCTTTAAGGACGTCGAGCATTCTATGCCATCCTTAGGGGGCCAGTCCTAATCCATTTATATAATCATAATAATCAATACATTTAAAAATGCTTTAAAAAAAAAAAAGAGATACATGTGTCATTTTTGTTTGTTTATTCATATCAAGATACAGTTAGAACAATATTACACATGTATAAATCCTTTTTAAATGTATTATTTTGTGTGTGTTGTATCCAAATAATATCAGGGGTGCACTCTCAGCTCTTTTGAATGTAGATAGTGTTTTTAATAGCAAAAAGTTACATCCGTAATACGATCAACGTTTCGAGCCCTAAGGGTCTTTCAATGCATTTTTGGTTAAAATTTACTATAGAGAGAGTGCCAAGCTGAATTGATTTTTGTATATGTATATATGTGGATAAGTAAATTCTACGTATATATTATGTACTTTTATTGATTATAATTTGAAGGACCTACCGAACAACCCAGGCAGAAAGTCCAGAGAATTTAGTTTGCAAGTCTTATATTTAAACTTGTAACTTTTCAAGACTCCATAAAACCTGTTTGGGGGGGTACTGTTACACTTGAGAGACTTCGCTTAACACAAATTAGAATAGTGGTAGCTCTGTTTACGAATTTAATGAGTTCTCACTGACTTTTCTTATTGCGAAAAATTTGTAAACTGAATCGTGGTTTCCCCAAAAATTTTTTTAATCTATTCCGGAGGTCAGAAAAAAGTCAAAATGAGCTGGCATGGAAACTAACTCACAATGCAGAACACACAGTAAAAGGCATGCAAACAACGAAGCTCAACTCCCCACCTTTCCACCGCTTTAGGAATGCACCAAAAAGTCCCAAAACCGCTGCACAAAATTTCTAGAATGGTTCCAAAACTCGATGCAAAAAACGCTCTAACGCCTTCACACTCTACGCCACGTGCTCCTCACAGTATGCACAGGAGCGGAGTTATAAACCTCCCAGGCACAATATATTATGGGGAAACGTGCTTTGTAATGCGAAAAAAAATTCTAAAACCGAGGCATTATTTTCATTTGTAAACTGAAAATTATGTTAACAGAGGCGTTTGTAAACCGAGGTACCACTGTATTTCAAAACTGTAAAACGTTTTTAAAAGATTACACAAACTGTATTTATCATTGTTGTGATGCATATTACTGTTTTGAAACCCTAATATTTGTGTTCAGTGAAGTCTCCGGAGTATAACCGTACCCCAATGGTACAGGATTTAAGGTATTTTTGAAAGTTCCAGGGTCAAATAGAAGGCTTGCATTTCAGTTTTTTTCACATTGAAATTTCACAAACACTGACCAAAATTAGGATTCAGACTTGTTTTTTCCCCACACACAAACAAATATGAATGCTAACGTTGGCCAGTGTTTTTGATTAAGTGGCTACTAAAAGAGACTGGACATACCCCGTTTGCAATTCCTTGGTTTGTCAACCTTTGCAAATGGTATGCCATCCCGGGGGTAATTCTCATTCCTGGATTGCCATACAGTCTCAAAGGGAACATAACCAGTCTGGCAAATTTCAATGTGTGTAAAAAAACAAAAAAAACAAAACACCATAACACCGTAAAACTTATCCATGGAGGGTGCTGTTGTACTCGTGAGAAATCGCTGAATACAAATTATTTTATTGCAGTAAAATTAACAGTATTTACTGTAAAAATACCATGCAGAAATAAATATAATTACTCAATTTTTTTTTTTTTTTTTTTAAATTTGTATTTATAAAGAGTGATGTTTCATATATGAATATTTGATTTGAAATGAAAGTCCTGTTTCTTCTGGACAAAATGTTCTATAATAAGTGTGGGTGCACTTCATATGAAAGAGGTGAATTATGGTTGAACAGACATACAGATAAATTCCAGGTTTTGTTTTGATCAGAACGTGTTAAATATCTTTCGCTAAAAGTAGTTGTTCTGTCTCCCATTTATGTATACATTTTATTTTTGTTTACAAAACAGCTTTGTTTCTTGCATTACAATATTCAGTGAATATGCTACAAAAATACATTATGTAATACTGGGCTTGACAAATCCCAGACGCCAGGTTGCCATTGCGACTAGACATTTGCTCAGGCGCCTGGGATTTGAAGCCCTTTAGCTAAAGGCAGGATGGGGGAACAATGGAGCAGTACTTTCTTCTTAAGGAGCGGGGAGGCGGCTGCTCTGAGGATCGTGCAGGTGGCCGTCCTGTGGAGCATCTCTGTGTGAGCAGTGATCTTCAAGCGGCTCCCTTCTGCTCTCTTGCGCTGTTTAATGATGCAGGGAGCCGGGATATGACGTAATTTCGGCCCAGGCATCACTATAGGGAGCAGAGGGACCCACTTGAAAATCACTGCTCCCTCACACGCAGGATGAGCGAGCAGCCCCACTGGACCCCAGGGAAAGTCCACTTGGCTCTCCCAAAGGTAGGGAGGCTGGGTGGATTAAAATGAAAATTGTGTGTTTGTCTGTTTCTCTCTCTCTCTCTGTCAGTGTGTGCGCGCGCATTCTCATGTCTGTTTAGGTACCTGCGCCGCTCTGAACACGAGAGGTGTTTAGTCACCACCTTTCCCACGCTATGCCAGTGTTCCACAGCTTGTCCTGCCTTCATGGGTGAAATAATCTTAAAGATCTCCGCTAAACCAATGCTTTCCTTTTGGAAAGCATTGGGAGGATATTGCGCATGTTTTCTATATGAAACCTCCGTGCAGAGCGTGGAGACGCTGAACAAAAGTTCTGCACACTGTGCAGCACTGACACAGGACTCTAGTGGTGTCTGAGTGACTGCCACTTGAGGTGTTACTAGGCAGCAATGTAAACACTGCTTTTTTTACTGAAGGCAGTGTTTACATTGAACAGGCTGCAGGCACCAGAACAACTACATTAAGCTGTAGTGGTTCTGGTGACTATAGTGTCCCTTTTGAGAATTGTATATTTCTCGTAAATTAAACTTTGTTAATTTTATAAAAACTGGCTCCTAGATTCCAAACAAATTTGTCAAGCCCTGATGTAATATTAGAAAGGTTTGTACAATTAGCCCAGTTCTTCTCGCTGTATTTGGTCTGTGGGGGCAGATGGTTGACTAGTGCAAAACCATTTTGCAGTTAAACACGGTTGTCGTCAAATCAAGCTGCTATTATTTTATTTTCATTTGCATAGAGATTTTTTTTTTGTATTTTTTTTTCTTCTTTTGGAATATGAAAAACAGCCAAGTTCTGTAAAAACCCTCAAAGAATAATGCCAGCTTCCTTTGTCCTGAAGCCTAGTTAATTTATTCTGAGATGTGCCAGACTGCCCTGCAGAGTGCAAATAGAAGCACTCACAATCTGCCAAGCAATGAGCTGGTGCTAACCAAATTTCTTTTTTCCTCCCCTCTCTTAATGGTAGGTGTGGGATTATGAGACCGGAGATTTTGAACGTACACTCAAGGGACATACAGACTCTGTGCAAGATATTTCTTTTGACCATTCTGGCAAGCTTCTGGCATCCTGTTCTGCTGATATGACTATCAAGTTATGGGATTTCCAAGGATTTGAATGCATCAGAACCATGCATGGTAAAAACATTAAACCTACTTTATAAGATTCTGTCTTATTGGGAGCTGTAGTATTACCTTACCTACCATTTAGGCATCCACTGCTAAGCCCCTAATTAATCTAAAATGTGGATCATCGACGATAAGAGAATTACGAATATATTATTGCAGACCCTGGGTATCTAACTACTTTTTGACTGCCAGTGGAATTAAAAATCGTTTATCATTTATGCCCTAAAAGCAGCTTTTGTATGTTTCTTTTATATATGCACAAATTCGTGTGAATTAGGATATATATTTTGCCAAGTGTTACAAATACATATAAGGTTGCTTCTTCTTCTAGGATCACAGTCGTACACACAATATTTTAAATTAGACTAATAAATTCCATGTATACTTTGTGCTAGCAGAATTACTAGGTTGTTTACTAAATCTTTATAAAAAATATGGTCCCATGCCTCACTTGGCAATCAGATGTCAACATAGAGATAGATCTTCCAAGAACTGAGCAACAGGGAAGACTAGAGAAAACAACATATTGAGGTTTTCCTGACACCGAAAAGCACAAATGACTGACTACTAATTGTGATGCAAGTGAGACCTCTAGTGGCAAAACAGCCATGAGTGTTATATTTTGCCTAGTCCTTTGAACAGAAGGTTCCTTTACAAAAATAAAAAAAATGCATACATTACAACATTCTGTGCAAAATTCAGTTAGATCTAATAGTTTATTATTTTTCTTCCAAGGTCACGATCACAATGTTTCGTCAGTAGCTATCATGCCCAATGGAGATCATATAGTGTCTGCCTCAAGGGATAAAACCATTAAGATGTGGGATGTGCAGACTGGGTTAGTATATTTTGTTTTCTAACTGAAAGTTAATTTAAAATTTTGATGCATTATGCCTAGTTCTATTTTGACACCTTTGTTGAATACATTATAAAGACTTTAATAAGGCAATAAACAAAAAATATGCTCAGTCTAGGTCTTGAACTATGCATTTATCTATTTATTTTGCTTTAGTGTTTTTAGATGCATTTTAGATTCCCCCAGGTCTTATGCAGGATGGGAAAAGAACACTGCATTTCTTTTAGCAAATTACAGGGATTAACCTTTTCTGCCCAGCGATCTATCCAGATTAGGAAACTGCTGAAACTCCACTTCTAATCATCCCCATTCTAGAATAGTTCAGGTTTTGTTCAGCTTCCTTACGCTTGGAACATTTGACTTTAAATTCAGTGCATATTGCCTTGAAATCTCTAGGCAACCTCTAGTACCTTAACTTTGCCTGCTGTAGAATGGCCCTAATCTAGCGCTTTTAAAGAGGGCTCTAACCAACCAACCATTAATAAATACAATTAAGTACTCGTTAAGCTAGTGCAAATGTCTTTTAAATATTGTTGAAACATTCAATTTCCTTACAGTATACTACATCAATATCTGATATGGTATTGATTGGCTACCATTTTAAATTGAGATGGGTATATAAATAGAAATAGAGAGATCTGCTGAAACTAATCAATATGAGTGAATGATACATATGTTTTTATTTTTTATTTTATAAATCTGGTGTTCTCATTCATTGTATATTAAGTTGTTTCTGGGTTTTTTTCATACCACAATTGCAACTGAACAAGTTTTCACTGTTTTTAACTTTCACGTTCCTCACAGTTTATCAGCATTCAGTGTTCCCCCAAATCACTATAAACATTTTACTTTGTAGATTCCTTTAGATATTTTTGTAATGTATGTTTTACTTTCTAGGTATTCTGTGAAGACTTTCACAGGGCACAGAGAATGGGTCCGCATGGTGAGGCCCAATCAAGATGGTACACTGATTGCCAGCTGTTCTAATGACCAAACAGTTCGAGTTTGGGTGGTAGCAACAAAAGAATGCAAAGCAGAGCTTAGAGAGCATGAGCATGTGGTAGAATGTATTTCTTGGGCTCCTGAAAGTTCCTATTCTACCATACTGGATGCAACAGGATCAGAGGTACAAAATCTTGTATTTTTACAAAGGCAGGGACATTAGTGTTATGCTTTAGCTCATTTTGTATTTATTTATTTTTAATAAAATATCAACCGCACAGTTGGAACATTCCCATGATGAGCACCACTTGAAGCCAAATAATGTACTGCTGGATTTAGCATACATAAAATATGTAATGAAGTAGTGTTTCCATGTCTTGCTCGCACGGGGCCGTCCAGCTATGGACATGAACTCTCATACCCCCCTTTAATGCCAGACACACACAACTAATATAGGAAGTGTTAACAGCCCCATCTGGGAATGACATTTACTTACTGTGCTATGTTCCAATTCCAGCCAATTCACTGCCTTTTTCATGCCAGTCTTTTCCCTGGCTTTCCAGATTTGAGAGATCCAGATTTCAGATATAATAGGACACGTGTTTATGGAAATTGAGTGAGACATCAGCATGTAATATCTTAATTTTTTTTTTTTTAAGCTTTTACACTTAATGAACCCCTAAATTGTTAGACAATGAATTGCGTAAAAAACAGAAGTACATGGTACATTAAACATTGATTTGACTTTCCAAAATTGAGCACTTCTAAAATGGTTTGTCCTTTCTTGTTAGAGATGATTCTTTTAGTATATTGGTTTAATGGTGCAAAGGACTAGCTTATTGTGTGCAGCTCCCAAACCATTTCACTTAAGATTTGCTTAGTCTTAAAGTTGCAAATTACCTTGTTTTACTGTGTGTTTTCAGCATGCTCACAAATAAATGATTCAGTGGATGTAGAGGAAATATGAGAAGAAAGTTTTTATATATATTTATTTTTTCTTCTATTTTCCCTGTCACACCAGCAGGGAAATACTGTTAAAATAAAATGTAAAAAAATAAATGGTATTTTAATTAGCTTTTTCGTGATGGCTCCTCCTAAAGAATGGCTTTAGAAGCATTATCGGCATACATGATTTCATTTACGTTTTTCTACGTTGTTCTGTTTTGTTATAGCTATAATTCTGCCTGTTTTTCCTCTTTCAGACTAAGAAGAGTGGTAAGCCTGGGCCGTTTTTGTTGTCTGGATCAAGAGATAAGACTATTAAGATGTGGGATATTAGCACAGGCATGTGCCTAATGACACTTGTAAGTAAAACAGTCTATCAAGTTATATCTTAAGAATTAAAGTTAGAGAGGTTTGGGAGGACAGATATGTAAAATTGTGGGTTGCTGCAGATTGTTTTAGTTGGGAATTAGATATACATACAGAAAAGAAATTCTTACCGGCGGGTTTAGTAACACACTTCTTGAACTTACAGAGACCTGTCTGTCCCCCTCTGATAGTGCTACTCATGCCTCTTTGTTTTGGTAAACTACAATTCTCTTACACTCCCAGACTCCACTGTAAAGGAGGTGGTGTAGGCATCCTTATCTCCTCTCAATGTACCTTTCAACCAATCATAACTTCCCCCTGACCAATCCTTTTTCTTGTTCTGAAGGTCACACTGTCCACCTATTTAAACCCACTCCTTTAAGAATTGCTATCCTCTACCGCCCCCTCAATCATGCTAGGCTATTCATTGAGCACTTTTCTTCATAGCTTCCCCACTTCCTCTCATCTAGCACTCCTTCCCTTATATTTGGGGATTTCAATATCCCAATCAACAACCCCAACTGCACTAATGCCTCTCGTCTGCTCTCTAACCTCTGTAATGGTCCAATTTAGCAACCCAAACAGCTGGACACACTCTTGATCTCACCTTCACCAATCTTTGTACCGCCTCTAAGCTCTCTAATAATCATTTTCCTCTATCTGACCACCATCTGCTGTCTTTTGACATCGGCATACCTAAGACCCAATTGACACCACTGTCAGAACATCAATCTCACAGAAACCTCCATTGTCTTGACCTAGAGCATTTCTCCACTAATCTCCAAACTCTCCTTTTACCTATCTCAAACCTCACCTGCCCTAGCTCTGTAACATCCTTCTACAATTCCACCCTCTCCTCTCAACTAGACATCATGGCACCTCCTACATTTAAACGCATCAAGCGCCCCCTAGCAACAACCTCAGCACACCAAGCTGAATCGATCCCTCCAAAAATGCCCCAGAACTACTGAACTCTGTTGGAGAAAGTCTCACTGTGCGTCTGACTTTCTCCACTATAAATTTATGCTGCGCTCATACAGCTAGGCTCTTTCCTTTGCAAAAGTTAATTACTTCAATATCCTCATTACCACACTCTTTCCTGCGAGCCCAAACAACAATTTTCACCCATTTAACTCTTCTTTGCCCTGTTGTTCCTCCTCCTACTCCTAACTTGACTGCCTCAGACTTTGCAACTCACTTCACTGACAAGATCTCTACAATCAGGAATGAGATCTCTCATCTTTCTTCTTCACCTTACAATAATTCCCCTAACCTCACTCCCTCTGCTGTTGTATGTTCATTCGCACCCGCTACAGCAGAAGAGGTTTCGGCTCTGCTCCGGTCCTCCCACTCCACCACCTGTTCCCTAGATCCAATTCCCTCACATCTCATCCGTACTGTCTTAGTCTTTCTCTACCTCTCACTAAAATTCTCAAACTCTCTCCTCTGGCATATTTCCATCACCCTTCAAACATGTAACTCTAATCCCAATTCTAAAGAAGCCCAACCTTGACCCTAACTCCCTATCCAACTAACGTCTTATCTCGCTTCTGCCTTTTGCATCCAAGATCCTGGAAAGAGTTGTGTATGCGAGATTGACAGACTTCCTCGAGTCCAACTCTCTGCTAGACCCGCTTCAGTCTTGTTTCCGTGCTAAGCACTCTGTGGAAACTGCACTGACCAAAGTATCCAATGATCTACTCGCTTCAAAATCTTGTGGTCACTACTCTATCCTAATTCCATCTCAAAAGCATTGCGCGCATTCAACCCTATTTAACGCCAGATGCGACTAAGGTGCCCGTCCTTTCTCGCCTTGACTACTGTAATCTTCCTCACAGTGGTCTTACTTGCTCCCAACTTGCACTGTTACAGTCCATAATGAATGCGGCGGCGAGGCTCATCTTCCTGTCCGCCTGCACCTCCCACGCCTCACCCTTATGTCAGTAGCTACATTGGCTTCCTGTAAGATATAGGGCTCAATTTAAAATTCTGGTTCTTGCTTTCAAATCTCTACATAATGCTGCTCCCACCTATCTATCCTCCCTAATACACAAGCATGTCCCGTCTAGGCCCTTAAGAAAGAAGCATGTCTTCAGCAGAGCTTATGTCCGTACTCCCACCTCTGATGCTCGCCTTCAAGACTTCTCGAGGGCTGCACCATTGCTGTGGAACTCTCTTCCCTCCTTCGTTAGATGCTCACCCAGTCTCCACTCCTTCAAAAAGTCATTAAAAACCCACTTCTTAAAAGCGTATCAATTAAACTGTCATTTGTCTAATACTATCCTTACCGTTTGTCACTTTACCCAACTCCCTCTAGCATGTAAGCTCATTGAGCAGGGCCCTCAACCTCTCTGTTCCTGTGTGTCAAACTTGCTTGGTTACAACTACATGTTTGTTCGTACACCTACTGCAAAGCGCTGCAGTATTTCTTGGCGCTATATAAAACCATAATAATGACCAATGGATATCCTGATATATGGATATCCTGGTATAGTGGAATTATGGATATCCTGGTATAGTGGAATTTTCTCACTCCTTATAAAGAATGGGACTATAGTGACTTTATTGTAGAAACTTGTTACTTAACCTTAAAATGATATTGTGAAGTTGTAAAACCTGCTGCTGCAGTAACCAACTTTGCAATATTAGCTTTCAGTTAGGCATGATCTTGGTTTACAGCTTAGTCATCCAGAAACCTGTATCTAACATTTGTGAAATAAATTCAGAATACGGTCTGTCTTTTACATATCTAAAATTGGAATATTTAAATGAACTCCAAATATTAGCAATAAAGCATATTGAACATGCTTGGCAATCGCTGCTGTTTGCCTATCTATTGCTACTTTCTGAGAAGTGTGTAGTGGTTTTAAATGTTGTCATACTGTGTGTGTGATGATGCTGAATAGGAATATGTTTAAAAATCAAAGGTATGGAGGAAGTTCCTCTAGTGGTTTTGTTTTAGGAAAAAATGTAAACTGCTATATTTGACACTGCCTAAGAAAGAGGGCAGCATATAGGCTCCAAAATGCTATATGAAAATGTTTTGGTGCATAGTGTCTCCCTTTAACTTTTTTTGTATATTTCATGTGAAACTGGCAAATGTTCTAAAAATGTGTAGCATTAAATGCAGAATGGCTGCATTACTTTTGGGGCACGGTATTTTTGCAATTTAAAATTACAGCTATTTGTTTACATGACTTAATTTAAACTGCATAATCTATAACCACTGACATTTGGGATCAATCTGGGCATTATAATTCCAGCCTGGCATAGGTACTCTGCAACTTATTTGTTGTATATTGTGCAGGGTTGGCAGAGAGTTGTGCACTGGCTGGCAATAGCTACAGTACATGCTTCCTATAAGTAACAATATATTACAGAGAAGGAAATGGCTATTTCACCCAGGTTACAATCCACATATTTTATCACAAGACCACTACGGTAACAGCATCCCCAAAGATGCAAGTTACATTTTGGGTGCTCATTATTGAGGTATCCACTATCTTGTCACTACACGTTTGTAATTATAAGTTGGTTATATCTTAATACTTTGTAACTTTTCTTTTCTCCCCCTCATCACCAGGTTGGTCATGATAACTGGGTGCGCGGCATTCTGTTTCATCCGGGAGGAAAATTTATATTGAGCTGTGCCGATGATAAGACCCTTCGCATTTGGGACTATAAGAACAAACGATGCATGAAAACCCTGAATGCGCACGAACACTTTGTTACCTCTTTGGGTAAGAATAATTTTTTCATTGCATAGGTGGCTAACTCCCACACATTTTGTATTTTTTATTATTATTCTAGGCATCGATATCTGTCTTTAGTGGTCTTTAGATTTGTTTCTCTGTCAAAAAATGTTTGGTTCCTAAATTCTATGTCTTTTCTACCAAATTACCAAACAGAATTTTTATTTCCTGATATAAATTTCACATTAAAGCAATTCTACTGATTTCAAATAGTCTCAATTTTAGCAAATGAGTGTTTGGATGTATTCAAACATCTGCAGCATATTTTTATTGAGGAGATGGAGGAAATGTGCAGTATTTGAGTTGTTAAAGACCCTGTTAGGCTGTATTGCATTAGAACCATACATTCTTATGGTTTATGTATATTTTAATTATTTTGAAAACCTTATGATAGTGCTTTATGTCCTCGTTTTTAGGTTAAACACTGCTGTAGGTAAATTATGCAGACTTTTGTCATTGCACTTTTTGTTTAAAAAAATCTTCCTTTAGTAGTAGTTTTTTACCCCACTCAATTGATATACTGTTCCCAAAAACATTTGTGACTAACTAAAAGTAATCTTGTGCTCCAATTTCAGATTTCCATAAGACTGCACCTTACGTGGTCACTGGAAGCGTAGATCAAACAGTAAAAGTGTGGGAGTGTCGTTGATTTGAATTCACCTTGGGTCCCCTCGCCTATTCCCTTTCCTCTGGATGCACTCAGATACCACGGTTACCCATTCAGCTCTGTTAAATACCTATTGTCCTTTCATGTAAATTATTCTGGATGTAGATTGAGCTTATTAAATGTTACACAAAAAGTATTCATGCATGGTGAATCCAAATTGTATACTGTAAATTTACATACGTTGTCTAGAAGTACCATAGGTTTAAAAACACGGGCAGGCATTGGTCACATCAGACCTAAGGCAAGATCTGGGTAATTCTGGGGTGTCAGAGAAGCGGACTATGTAACTTGCTCCAGCTGCAGGATCATGCCTGATGTTATTTTTGTCTTCAGTTGTGGTTTCCTAGATCAGTGGACTCACTTCAGAAGCACATTTGTGGGGCTTTTTGAAAAGTAATGTGTATCTGCTACACTTTTAGTGGGCTTTAAAAACTCACCCTTTGCATTGGAGTGTCCGCAGAATAGGAGAACTTTTGTGATGCGGCAGCACTTGTCTTTTATGTAAGTAATGATTACTGCAGAACATAGCACTAAATACTAATGATGCAGGATATTAATCTTCCCCCACTTGGTTTTTAAGGATTTGGCTCTTTTTCAATTTGATTAGTATCTAATAATCGCCACCTAGGGTATTTCAGGGGCATTACACACTTGATGGCCTTCAAGGGAATGATTGTTGGATGGTAACCAAAGACTTGTCATCAAAGGTGAAATATGAATTATGCAACAAATTTGTCACAAGATTAAAGTAGTTACCTCCATAAATGTTTGTACTTTATTACAGCCACTTTGCATGTGTAAAACATTGTTGTATTTGCCTCCTCTTTATTTCATTGTGTGTCTCAGGGTTGGCTACCATCATGCCTTTTCCTTCTAGAGGCTCTAGAGATCACTTGGGCTTCGGCAGTTCTGCAATTCGAACCTTAAATTAAACCATAGAAAGGCTACGTGGATATTATGTTGTTGAACACTTCAAAGCCTTTTGGATCCCAGTAATGGAACATTTGATTATAAATGTTGGAAACCTTTCTTGCCTCTACTCAAGCATTGACGCTTGTATACTCCTGTCATGGTTTCCTACAATTTAATTCTTGAATCTCACTCCTACAGCACAGTTTTGTTTTTTTCCCCTTGCTAATATTCAACTGTAGTAAGTTATAAAAAATATAAAGTGGCCTGTTTTCACCATTGCAATTGATTAATATAAATGTTGAGGCTTCTTTACAGTAACTACACACCTGCCCCATCAGATACTAGTTTCCATAACCTTTTTCTCATTATTTTTGTTTTGGGAAACCAAATTCACTCAAATTCCTATTTAGGAATTATATGGCCCACCATGTGCCCTTTCAAATAAATGATAAATATCCATATTGGTGGATGACAGATTTTTATTTTCCCTGTTAATGAGTGATCGACATTGCCAAACCACTGTCATTTGTGGTTTCAGAAAGGTTTTTGGCGTCTATAGAGTTCCATCTATCTGTCTGGCTGCTCTGATAGCTATCACCTGTACTAAAGTGCAGCTAAGCCTTTTGATAACAAGAAATGAAGAGGTAGCCACCTCTGACTTGGTTTTTATGACCTGACTTCTGTAGTTTAAATCATGAAAACAGGCCTGGTTCTAGTTTTGCAATTGTTTGCTCATTTACATTTTAAAGCTGGATGTTTTCACAAACGTTTACAATCCTTGTATTGGTTTGCATTTGTTAGTTATGCATGTTACCTTTTACTTCTAAAACTTGTAATATTTTGTATTTTTGCCACCTCAGCGATCAAGTAGTTTTGGAACCTTGGCAACAAAACCACTGTAAGACAACTTAAAAAAAAAAAAAAATAATAATAATTTGTAATAAAAGGAAAACAAAAATATTGGGGGAGGCAGGAGGGCAGCAGCATTTACTTATTTTCTCCTGACAATTGTGCACTCATTGTATATATTGAAAATGTTAGCCATAATATTGCTAAAATCCACTGGCTCAGTTATACAAGTCTCCCTTCAAGTAACCTCAACTATGATTTTATACCGGTTGCATTTCTAAAACCAATTCCTTTATTTTTAATAACTGCCATTATCTAATTATTATTTGTGTTAAAACAATATCCTGACTTTTTTCATCTTTATTTCCTGACCTTTTTATTCCAACTAATTTCTAAAATTCCCAAAACAAATATACAACGTGCTGAAATAATGTAATCTGTTCTCATTGTACTACATCTTGCAACTGTTGTGGCACAACAATAACTTAAAAGTATCCGTTTACATGATAAATGTAGAATTTCAACTGCACACATAATACTCATCAGAATAATTAAAGACCACATCTACTGTTTTGGTGCAGATGTGGGTGTGGTGAAATGATTAAATATGGAAACCAGTAGATTTCTAAATTTTCTGATTCTTTGACTTTAGATCTGGACTAGAAGCTTGGCGAAAGAAATGTACTTCTAGCAATGTGTTAGAACAATGTTAGGCAACCTTCAGTGCTCCAGGTTGTAGACTACACCTCCCCTGATGCTTTGCCAGCGTAACGGCTGATGTAGTCCACATCTGGAGTGCCACAGGTTGCCTACACCTGCTGTAGACTATTGCATACTCAAATAATTACACAAGAAGGTAGGGTAGTTGTGGCTTTTATAGTCCCTCTTATTCAGTTTTTACTTGTCCAGTCTTTCGACATAGTCATTCAACATCATGTAAATGACTTTGAATAAACAAAATATTGAGTTAATCATATTTTATATATTGAATTGTGGCTCTAAATTGAAACTCTAACCAACATTTTGTTATCATTTACAATGATCTCAATATGTGATCTATTTTATAGCTTTCCCTCTTACAAACACTTTGTAGCTGTCATTGAACTTTGCTGATAGCCAGCATTAATCTTTTAGTGCCACATGGGTGCTCAGAGTATCGCCTTCTGACACTAAATAAATGTTGATTCCCAGTGCTGATGTGATTTTCAGTGTGCCTTAATATTTCCTCCCCCTTCTGCTTCACTGTGTATATTGTAATTTTTATTTTGTCAATAAATTAACAAGTCTGAACATAATGCAGTTGCCTTTATGAAGGCTTTCACTTGAACAGTAAAATCTTTTGACGTTTATGAAATCACTAAGATGTGTGTCTGGGTTGTCAAGAAATTATTCACATGATCAAAATTTCGAAAAACTTAGACCTGTATAAACAGCGAAATTTGTAATTCTTGGAAAAGCAACACCAATTTTGTTCTATCAAACTGTCTTTAAATCAATCAAGGTTAATGATGTGTGGGGTTTTAAAAGTAGGAAAGGGCAATATTACAGCTATCCATATCAAAATGAAACTTCAGAAATGTTGTGAAATGGTTGGCAAACACCACAAAAGTGTGAAATAAAATGCACAGCTTGTTTTGGGTGTGAGCTGTCATACTTTCTATTGTTTAATGCTTTGAAGATTATCACCACACCAAATGTTTACTATAACCTCCAAATGGATGTTTAATTTCTTTGTAAATACATTTTGTTTCCCCTTGCCGCATAATACACAATTCATTCCTCTGTATAATTTTTAGTATTGCAAATATTTAGCTCTTAGAAAAAAAAAAAAGTTGAGGGTTACAGTAAAGGATATTGGTGTTCTTAATGCATTTTGCACTTTAGAAAATGAAACCGTCCTGCTTGTGTGTGGTGTGACCAATGATGTGCCCAGGCACTAATCAAAGAGAAACTAGTTACTAGCAATTAGTCCATGGCCTGTGGAGCAGTGCTGTAGTTTCAGAGCTTTTAATAGGCCCATGAAGCCCAGTCTATTTTTTTTTTGTCATACCCTACTTTTCCTTTTTCTGCCTCTCATGTTGTGTGAACCGCCTGTTCGATTCTCATTCTTAAGTACATACCACCAATGCCCTCCACAAAAATGCTATTTAAAGTTTATATTTTGTTTGTCGTACAGTGGTGGATTTATGAACCTTGACATGTTTAACGGGGAAGGGGAAATAGGTTAATTATTTAACAGTGAGGCACTTACAACCACTTGCAATCCTTTTTATCTGTAAATGCACACAGGTTAAAACAGTTTGTTGAAAGATACACTATGTGGAAACGAGTCAAATTTATATATTTTTTTTTTTAAATTCTTTTTTTCTTTTCTTTTTTTGTTCATGAAGTATGAATTTACAAGTCACAACTGGACCTCATCTAAACAGAACTTTATTCCAGTCTATTATGTAAGTGGCTGCTTTATTGTTCTTCAGGCTGCCATTGTCCAATTCTCCATTCCCTCCTTACCTTGAGTTCATTTTTGAAGAACAAATTTTCTTCAATTTAGTTGACCCTTGACATGGACATGAACAAAAGTGTCCATTTTCGTAAGGATTTTTTTTTTTAATGACTGTAAGAAATAACTGAACAGAAAGTGACAGTAAAAAAAAAAAAAAAAACCTATAAAATCAGTAAAGGAATGTATATAATACTGCATTGTGTTTTACAGTAAGATTTGTTGCTCTCAAACTGTGTAAAACAAAATTTATTCATGTTTTCTGCATATTAAAAAAAAAAAAATCTTATTGTACCAATTGGTAAACTATTAAATGCATATAAAACTAGATCTGTGGCTTTTTTTTTTTAAACTTTTTGCATCAATTCTGCTGTCTTTGCAGCTTTTAAATGGATAGTGAATAAAAATTTTAAGGGCCATATTTTAAATGTGTTTAAATGTACAAGCCTACTGTACTTTTCAAATGGCTTTTATTGGCACATTTTATCACTAGTAGGAAAACATTACTTTGTGTAAATGGTCTCTTTTTTTTGTTTGCCATTCGAGGCATTAGAAAACAAAAAAGGCAAACGAAATTCCAAAGGGCTTTTCATTCGTCCATTCATTCTGAAAGCTAAAGGTTGGTATTACACAAACATGAACACAAAAAAAGCAAACTTTTTTTTTTTTTTAAATATTGTACAAAATAGAATGTTCTGCCCGTAATGGAGGAAACAAAACAGGAGTTTCATTTATTTAGCATAAACACTTATTTGAAGTAGTAAACAAGATTGTTCCATTTTTTATTTTTCTTGTTAATCATGTCTGCATTTGCAAATGCGTGGCTCTTCCCTTTACAACAGCTAGGATAGGAAATACTGCTTATTTTAAAATTTGTATAAATAGGATTGTCCGTCCCCTTTCAGATAGTCAATGTGACTAATGCTACAACACCCCACCCCAGCCCCCTCCAATTGTAATTTGCTTTTGCTCTTAATGCACCTTGTATTAATAAATTCCTTTTTGACACTTGCTCTCTAGATTAACTTTTTACTTGTGCCAGGCTGTGATGTCTACAGTGTGCCTTCTGTGGGACATTTTTGACTGATGGATTGTGGATATATATCATTTTTTTTCTTTTATTTTTTGCAACTAAAATGGAACTTTAAAGGAAGTTTTGAAATAATTTTTTTTTTTAATTTAATGCAGTATATGGTAAAACAAAATTTTTATATATATATTATGTCCCAGCTCTCTATGCTCCCGGTCTTTATCTGCTCCGGTGCTGTCTCCAACCAAATTGTAGTCTTTACAGACTGAAACGTCGATCTGTACGTTGTGTATTCCTATTATTGCTCAATAAAGCAACAGTTGAAATTTACTTATAAGACTCCTGAGTGCTCTCTACTGGGATATGTATGTATGTATGTATGTATACACACACTCATCCCTACCTTTAGTATGTAACCGGATCCTTCAGCCATAAATATGCACTTTGGGTCAGTGTTTGAAATCAACAGTCTCTAACTATGATAAGGTAAAAAAAATAAAAAAAATTACTTTAAAAGCAATCTGCAAAGTTACAGAGCCTCTTGAATAATCAGGAAAGGAAAATGATTATGCATTTTAGACTAATAATGGGTAATATCCAATAAATTTATCAGGACTGACTGATAATCAGTACAGATACCAGCTTAAAGGTAAAGGGGGAAAAAAAGTGGCACAATTGTACTAGATCTTGAAACTGCTAATCAATGGGACCTCTCCACATTTAGCCCACACAACAGAATGAGTTCCAGTGGCAGCCTTGGATCTTCACTGAAAGGAACAATATAGGGTCAGGAACACAAACCTGTATTTCTGACCCTATAGTGTTAAAAACACCTAGCCTCCTAAATATAGTAAAATCTTACCTTTATTCCAATCTGCTACTGGTGGCTCTGCCCCTGATCGGCCTGCTTGGCTGACATAATCAGAAGTGGTGATCTGGGTCAATCACAATGCTATCACATAGGAAAAGCATTGGGTTGGCTGATGTCTCAGGGGCAGAGCCAACACAGCCCTAGCCAATCAGTCTCCTCATAGAGATGCATTGGATCCATGCATCTCTATGAGGAAAGTTCAGTGTGCAGAGGGTTGAAACACTGAATGTCAGCTGCCCCAGGAAGCACCTCTAGTAGGTATCAGAGTGGCCGCCAGTAGAGGTATCCCTAGGCTGTAATGTAAACACTGCATTATCTGTGAAAAGACAGTGTACACCGCAGCAATGCCCCAGGAAGCGAAGCACCTCGAGTGGCAGTATGAGGAGTGGCCACTGGAGGTGTACCCAGGCTTGAATGTAAACACTGCCTTTTCTCTGAAAAAACAAGTGTTTACAGTAAAAAGCCTGCAGGGACTGAGTATACTCACCAGACCAAATACAATAAGCTGTAGTTGTTATGGTGACTGTAATGTCCCTTTAATGGTTTTCGTTAAGCTAGCTTGATCAGGGCCGCCATCGGGGTTGACAACCATGACAGTTGTCATGGGTCCAGCAGCCCTGGGGGGCCCAGCCCCCATGTGTAGCAGCAAGATTGCTGCCAGTGCAGTTGCACCGGGGCCGGCAGGCTGATGGGGACCATCGGGTGGCCCACGCACTTATGGCCACCCGATGGGCCCTATATCTTGAGGGCCCGTTCAGAGCTGTGACCGGGCCCCTTTAAAAATAAAATAAAAAATGCAGCCTTGGCAGAAGTTGTCACTTCCTCCCAGCTCACTCCGCGTGAGAGGAGAGCCTGCGTGGAGGCCTTGAAGAGCGAGAGCCATGCCGACCCCCATCAGCCCCAGGCACCCTCCTTCAAAGAAAAGGTAAGAACAGGAGGGTGGCTGAAAAATTAGCTCTGTGTGTGTCTGTACGCATGCATGCATGCATGTCATTATGAATGGATGTTGGTGTCTGTATGCATGTATGTATTCCAGTATCAATGGATGTCCGTATGTATGTATGTCTGTCTCTATGAATTTATATCCGTATCAATGTATGAATGTCTGTCATTATCAATATGTGTGTATGGATGTATATCGGTGTCTGTCTGTATGTATGTTAGTGTGTCTGTATATGTGTATGTGTCAGTGTGTATGTCTGTTAGTATCTATCTGTGTCTGTGTGTGTATTCCTGTTGGTGGGATTTGGAGGTGGGCCCCCTGGGGGCCCAAACCCTAAGCTGAGTAAGGGGCCCTAAAATTTCTGGTGGCGGCCTTGAGCTTGCTTATAATGAATGCAAGGTTAGTCACTAAACAGAGAACTGAAAGTGAATTTAAAAATAAACAGGAAACCTTATCTAAATCAGCTATGCTTCCAGTTCAGCTACTTAAATTTAAACTTTACTTTCAATTCTCACTTTAGTAAATAACCCTGTGTTTTTGTAGAGCACAGTGTATATTTCAGGCCAGCAAATCCTTTATACCCTGCTTGCAGGAATGTATTGTAGACCATGGGTAGGAAACCCTAGCACTCAAGGTATTTTGGACTACATCTCTGAAACCTTGCCAGCATTAAGAGCGTTATGGGAAATGTAGTCTACAACATCAGGAGTGCCTACCTCCTTGTAAATTTGCTTGCTGCACAATGTAATTTTTTGTGTTTTTCTTTTTTGAATGTGGACCTCTGACCGGTGATGAGTAATATGAGTGACTAAAACATGGCTCTTAATGGACGCTGTATGGTCTATTTAACCCTGTAACTGAAACCATTGCCGTTTTGCAGGGTCAGCGTCAGGTTTTTTTGTTTTTTTTTGCCATTGCAACAATAATATGCCTCTAGTGGCTGTCAGGAAGATAGCTTAAATGCACACTAGCCTTGCAATGCTTTTTTGTAATTGTTTTGTTTTCATATTCTCCATCTTGTGATAATCCGTTTTATCAGCAGTTTGGGAATTATTTCTTGCAGTTTTCTGCTAGGTTTGCTACTTGTTAAAGGCTCTTTTATTCACTTTTTTTTTATACTGTTGCCAAGCACCTGGTTACTGTTTATTCCCACCCTTCCATTCTTTATTTTTGAAGTGCAGTGGCATATACATAGCTTTGTAATGACATATAGCATAATCTGTGGCTGTGTAGATATGACAAGATAAGCTGCACAATTTTAAGATCTTAAAATTAAAACAAAATACACGCATGAGAAAGCAATATATGCTTGTATTGATAACACTTCAAAACAGATATAGTGGCAGTTACAGGCGGTTTGGTATCTGCAGGATACCTTAGTTCGGTTGATAGATAAAAAAAAAAAAGCTTGTGGATGAGAATACTGCGATTAGGGATGCACTGAAATGCAAATTCTGGTCCGAATCCAAAAATTCAGGATGCCTTTGGCCCAAAACCAAAAATGACTTTTCCCCCCAAATGGTTTTAAAAAAGTTTTTTTTTTTTTCCCCTATAATTTTTATTAATATTAGACTTTTTAATAAATCTAATCTAATATGAAATACTTCCCTTCTCCATTAGTGGTCCCACCCACTTAATGTTCCTCTCCCCTCCCTCTTTTCTAGTGTTCTTCCCATCCCATATTCTTCCCATCTCTCCTATCCCATAGTGTTCTCCTCCACAACCCACCCCCTTCCCAAGTGCAGTATTCTTGGCTTTTCATGTTATCATTACTATCTTTCATTGTGATATATAATCATGTGAATTGTTAATGCAAGCATGTCTGTTAAACTATGCACTACAAAGATAAAAAAAATATTTAAAGGGGGGAAAAATATATATTCTTCAGGAATCTCAATCTTCACAGGGGATAGCATGATCTAAGACGGCACTTTATGGGTGCTGTTGAGGTAGCTCTTATGGCACTAGCTGTTCTGAGGAGTTTACATTAGCTAGGTAGTAGTCTCAGCGGTTGGGGGTGGGGGGGAGTTAGACCTTTGACTCAACGTTGGGCCATCTTCAGGTGTGGAAGACTCGATCTTCTTAAGACCGCTGAGTAGGTCTGCGGGTAGTTGATTGTCAGTTGGGCTTTGTGTTCTGCTGGTCAGTATAGCCAAGAAGGTGTCAAAGAGGCTATCAAGCCTTGACAGGAAAGGGATCTGCTGGCCTAGTTGACATGAGACATCCACTATCTTGGGTAGAACAACTCGTTCTGATTTGGGGCCCAAGGCCGCTGGGTGCCAGGATACCCCTAAACAGAGAGGGAGGCGATGGGGCTCAACCGCCGACAGTCTCTTCCCTACTGGGAAGTGGAATAAGAGATTGGCTGCTTCTGCCACCAGGTAGGCCGCCGGCATGTACACTGTGGGTATCCCCGCACTTAAACAGGAGGACAATGCTGCTCCCACAAGCAATGAGCAACATGTGGCAACATCAGGTTAAAAATTTGGAAGCTATGAATCTACAAGATGGGTCATATACAAGATTCGACACGGAGCCCAAGCAACGAACGACTGCTGAGCCAGGCCCCCTGCCCCTTCATTGTGTATATTAGCATTCATTTGTTTACAGAATTGCCACTTTGACCGAATTCCATTTGCTTGCTAAATTTATAGATTACTTTTAAATGACATCAAAAAATTAATACACATTTGTATCTGTCATAGCCCTGGATGTACTAACCAGCTGCGTAAAATCATGTATACTTTGCATTTGCCCTTAATGAGTAGTGTATAATGTGTCAAGGAGAATTCTCACTTGCCTAGAAATTACACCACTCCCGTGGCGCTGAAGGGGGAGGAAGGTGTTAATCCCTTACCTTTTTTCCAGCGCCGGGCTCCCTCTTCTGATGTCACCGGCTGAATTCTCAATGCTTTACTATGGACGCTGGCGTCTTCTCACTGTGAAAATCACAGTGAGAAGCGCCTCTAGCGGCTGTCAATGAGAGCCACTAGAGGCTGGATTAACCCATAGGTAAACATAGCAGTTTTTCTGAAACTGCTATGTTTACAGCAAAAAGGGTTAAACTTAGATGGACCTGGCACCCAGACCACTTCATTAAGCTGAAGTGGTCTGGGTGCCTATAATGGTCCTTTAACCTTTTTTCATGCGATGCTCTATTTTCTTTTAAATTTACAATAAAATGGATACTATAGGCATCAAAACAAATTTAGCATAATGAAGTGGTTTTTGTGTATATGTCATGCTCCTTCAATCCCACTGCTCAATTCTCTCCCATTTATCTGCTATCAGTTTCCTGCATACAAGCTAGATTAATTTTCAGGTACAAAGCAAAATATCACCACAGTGGTAAAAAGTAGTGAATTGTAAGAATAAATAATACTTCGCTTTAAGAGTAAGAAACAGCCTCCCAAGATCGGTACCCAAAGGCAACCTTTGAACAATATACAGAAAACCAAAACAAATATTTGGGATACGGCTGGATAAATCTAAAAAAGGGGAACATAAACCAAACAT